TTTCAGACTCATTTTCTTTCCTAAATCTATTTTACGCTTGGTATGCTTGACAGTTTCTCTTTGGACTCCCTAATGAAACCCATTAAAGCCCCCTTTTAAAAGATGTAAAATAACTCCCTGATGTCCCTAGAGTGTGTGTGTGTGTATATATAAAGTTTCAGCTTAAAATACCACACAGATAATGATTTATAATTATTTGAAACTGCTCCTTTTAGGCTTTGATCCAAATTGTGCCTTTTTGGTGACTGTCGCTTTAAATGCAAATGAGATGCTCTTTTCAAAAGAGGGAGGAGCTACAAACACCTGTGTCAGCATAACAGCAGATTTAAAACAGGACTAATTTTAACTATGTGAAAAACTGAACATGACACAAATGACAAGCATCTAAAACTGCATGTTTATAGTGGTCACACTAGAGTTTGAGGATTCTAGTCGTACGGTGTAGTAAAAAGGGGCGGGATTAAACAAGATAATTAAGAGATTTAAAAAGCAAGCAATTGCTCCATATTTTACATTTTTGTCCAGAGAGGTCAAGTTCTATCCTTGATTGGTCTCAAGCAATTATGTTATGTAATTTCGCAGGTCAGAGTTCACCAAGCTTGAACTTTGCAATGCAGCGAACTGCGAAACTTGTCGCACGAGCTTGCGTTTCCAGTCTGACGCATTCGCATGCATATGAATGGACGTCTATGGGGAGAAAAGTCCATTGTGACCGCAGCTTTAGTCGTTATCTTCAGCAGGTGAAAACTCTAATGGTGGACGGCTGTTTTTCATTTAGGATTGTCTATGCTAATAAAGCAGAGATTGTCACAAATGGGTGGCACATACACTACGGCCAATTTAGCTTATTCAATTCACCTATACCCTATGTCTTTGGACCGTGGGGGAAACTGGAGCACCTGGAGGAAATGCGAACATGGAGAGAACATGCAAACTTAACACAGAAATGCCAACTGACCCAGATGGAGCTCGAACATGCAGTCTTCTTGCTGTGAGGCGATCATACTACCCACTGCGCCACCTTGATGCCCTTAAGTATAATTATAAAAAAAAAATTATTATAGAATTTTTACCATTAGAGGCTGGTAATGTTCACAGACGGTTGCCACACAACTGTGTTTAAATCTCTTGAAAATTGACTTTTGCATGCTTGGTCACCTTTAAGTAATTGTTCGTGTTAGTGTGTATGTTGTGAAGAGATTTTAATGGTCACACTGTTTATATCTCTGCATTGCAGGCCTCAAAATCACCAACCAACCAATAACCCCAACACATCCAAGTTTGCTCAGAAGTTTGGCGGCTCTGATGTTTGTTCGCGGTGTAGCAAGGCTGTATATGAATCATGTCAGAAAGTGTCATTTAAGAAAAATCTCCCACAGTCCTTTTTAATAGGATTTAATATGTGGCAAGGCTTTAATATGTTAACTTTTTTAATAGTAAGTAAAAGGTTTTGATACAAAAAAGCTTTGGACTTGGAGGCAAACAACTAATTTTCTGCTCTTGGGAACCGCAGGCCACGTAATTCAAATAATGTAATTATAATTATGCCAGTATTGGGGTTTTGAATGTCTGTAGGCTACTGAAATTTGGATGTGTGCGAGCTTTGTTTAATTTGTTTATGCAACACTGCACCCAAAGGAAAAAAAAAAATCCTCAATTATTGCTTTTGAACATAGATGCAAGATTAATACTTCCAAAGATCTCATTTGAAAAATCTGATTAGCCTCAAAGTGGGAGTTCAATGAAGAATCTGTCATCATGTACTCATCTTGCGCTTGCAAACATGTTTAGTTTTCTTTCTTCTGTTGAACACAAAACAAGACTGAAGAAAGCTGGTAACCAGCAGCCATTGACTTCATAGTAGAAACAAACAAACAAACAATGTCAATGGCTGCTCCTAAACATTCTTCATCTTTTGTGTTTGATAGAATAAAGAAATTCAAACAGGCTTGAAACAAGGTGGAGAGTGATTTTTCATATATATAAACCATACCTTTAAGGGAAAAAAAAAACAAATTATTATTTAACAATAATCTTGACCTTGGCTGTATTTATATAGTTTCTTACCTCAGATTTGAAGCACAGGCATTGCTAGCTTGCAGGTTGCCAGATTTAAAAGGATAGTTCACGCGAAAATGTTAATTCTGTCATCATGTTTCAAGCATTTTTTTTTATCTTGAACGAAAAGGAAGATATACTGAAGAATGTAGGAAAACCAGCTGGTATTATTGGTTCTTAGTTAGTTGGTCAATGGTTGTTTCAACAGTCTTCAGAATATCTTTGCGATCAACAGAGAAAAGAAATTCATAGAAGTTTTGACCCACTTGACTGAGTAAACTGTGTGGAACTGTTCACTTTTGGATGAAGTGTCCCTTTAAATGAAGTGTTTCGCTACTGAGGAGGTCAGATGATACAGTTGTGAAAACATCATCGGTGCAGCACCAGCGAACAGATAACACGGTTAAACAAGCGATGGAGGTTGAGGAAATCCGAGTATGGTGGTGGTATCTGGGTCATGTATTTATAAGAGCACGAGGGACTACAGTCAAGATTCTTATACATGCTGTTACCCTGACATGAAGATCTTTCCCATGTTGATCTTCACACACCATTCTTAAAGGGATAGTTCACCCAAAAATGAAAAATCTTTCATTTATACATGCTTTTGTCAAACCATTATGAGTTTATTTTGTCTGTTTAACACAAAAGAAGATATTCTGAAGAAAGCTAAAAACTTAACCATTGACTTCATAGTAGTAAAAACAAATAATATGAAAGTCAATGGTTACAGGTTTTCAGCATTCTTCAGAATATTTTCTTTCGTGTTTAACAGATTTAAGAAACTCAAAAGGTTTGAAACCACTTGAGGGTGAGTTGGTAGTAAGTAAATGCAATTTTTTTTTGTCTGAACTATCACTTATCAAAAGTCATTACAACTAAGTTATAACTAGGTAACCGACTATTGCTTGACCTACCGTCAATATCCTGTTAGTTACAGTATGTTCTTAGTTAAATACACATACTGTAAAATAAAATAAAAATAACAAAACAAGAGGTGTATGGGGGATGGATATAATATAAACAACCACCACAGATAAAAACTAATATAGATAGATAGACAGACAGACAGATAGCTAGAGTGTGTGTGTGTGTGTATATGAGATCCAAATATGAATTTGTATGTCATATATCAGATCAGGGTTGTTTACTTCCTTTAATTAATTAACGTGTTAATATTACTGTGTTTGTAGTAGGCTTACATCGATTATGAAAATGTAAACTATATTAAAATGATTAATTATAAAGCAATATACGACTTACAGTCTTTAAGTACATGTAGTAAAGGAATTTTTATTACTATGGCAATTTTAATTCTAGGGCTAACTACTTTAATATTCAAAAGATATGTTGTGTAGTGGAAACCTTTCATTGATGATTATGTTTCTCTATGGACTCCCACACCACCTCATTTGCGTTTCTAGTAAACCCAATAGCCTCTATTTCTCTGGATTAACGTCGCTTTCAGCCAAGGTTAAACATTTTAATGAAGGCGGGTTAGCGCCATTTTGTACTCATGTCTAAAACCAATTAAGTTACCTGCGAAATGAGTATTCATATTCACCTGCTTTGGATAGCCACACAAACATCGCGGTTTGTATTAACAGTTGGAAAACTTCAAAAGTGACGGCAAACGCTTCTAACGTTAACTTACTGGGGTAAGAGATATACGACTAAGTCTTACTTTTTCATTTAAAACAATCCAAAGAGACAGTCCAGTCTTACTCTTTCGTTCAAAACAATCAAGAGACGATTTAGTCTTTCTTTTTCCATTCAAAATAATCAAACGAGACGATGTAGTCTTACTTCTTCATTTAGAACAATCAATTGTGATGATTTAGTCTTACCTTTTCTTTCAAAACAATCCATTCAGGTTGGAAAAAAAAACTTGTTAGCAGCTAGGGCCTTTAAGTCGAACACGTGCTGCGTTTGACCAAACAAGTGACACATCAAATATGCAAATAATGACGTGGAAACCCTGGATTAATTGTTAAAGGCATCATGGCTTCCCCGAAAAAATGAAAATTCTATGACCTGGTACTTGACTTGTTTGTTCTTACCCCTTGAACAAATAAGGCGTTTATAGACAATGTATAGTGTTTTGTTTCTATGATGTCAAAATAACTTTCTTATCAGGCTTTTTGTGTCATTTTTGCACATTATTTTGTTTTAATTCAGTAAGTCTGCAAATTTATGCAAGTATTTAGTGTATAGCAATTGAAACCACATTAAAACACTTGTATATATACACAAGGTTAACAAATAAAATCCAATTAGAATCACTTGTTGGGTAAACAGCAGGTAATTATTACTTTACAAACAGTTTTGTACATCAATCTAAACATCTACATGTTCAATATTAATTAAACAAACTTACCTACTCCCAGGGCCATTTATATAAAAGTTTCTGCACCATTTAGGCGTTTCGTAAAATCTACAGTAGTTTTTTTATGCGGCCAGTTGTTAGCCCAATGCTCAACCCTTAATCTGGAAGACTAGGCCATACAAACATACACTATGGACAATTTAGTTTACCCAATTCACCCATACCAAGTTTTTGGACTTGTGGGGGAAACCGGAGCACCCGGAAAAAACCTATGCCAACATGGGAAGAACACGCAAACTCCACACAGAAATGCCAACTGTCCCAGCGAAGACTCAAACCAGCGACCTTCTTGCTGCGAGGCGACAGTGCTACTACCCACTGCGCCACCCATAACTAGACAAACACTAAATAAATATTTACACACATTTATATAAGTGCATAGATTGAATGTTGGGCTCAAAAATCGGAGCTTAGGTTTAGTTTGGCCTACTTATACATATGAAAGCACTTGAGGGTGAGTAAATACTGATTAAAATGATCATTTTTGGGTCTTCCCTTTAGACCCAGGGAAATCCAAGCAACGTGAATCATAAAAAGAAGAAATAAAGTCTCTGTGTTTTGTTAAAAACATTTATTGGTTTTCGTTTTTTGTCAATTTTCCCACATTTTTCTGTTTTGTTCACCTAAGCTTCTTTTTCACAATCAATCCAGACTCCTTTTGTAACCCCATTCTCTTGTTTCCCCTCCCCATTTCCCCCTGGTGGGTCTGACTTCAACCAATCATCTCCATATTCACATTCCCTGTTATTGAAATCAACTCAATGGAGCATAAACCAATCAAATTCATCATAATGAAAACAGCCGCAACAGAAAAGGGCACAGCAAATCAGACAAAATATGTTCTTGGATGACTGGGGTTCAACACACAGAATTGATGATGATGATGATGATGAAGGGAAAAGTGCCATCAAGTTAATGGAGTGCTTATGGAGCGACTAGCTAAAATAGATACCAGCTAGATTGTCCAGGAAAAAAAAAAAAACGCCAACCTGAGAGCAAGCGTGCAATAGAGCAGCACCCAAACAGGGGTCTGATCAGACCGTTACACGCACCAGCCATGTTTAAATAATCTTAAAGGTATTTAAAATAAAGGGTTGAGCCAGTCATTACCTAACAGGGATGGTGGGACAGTGTTTTGATATGCAGTTCAATACATTCAAGCTATATTTACAGGAATAAATAAAACCACGACTTATGTATACCTACACAAAATGATAGCTTTTCTCTTTACACAAGACATCATTCTTCAAAACACTGGACAATAAAACTCTCAACGAGTAAAAAAAAAAAAAAAGGTATCAGATTTTTAAGCACTCTTGGATGAACGTATAAATACAAATTCGACTTGCTCTCAAGCTGATAAACAAATCTGACCTCAATAACTTGTGTAAATGACACAAATCAGCCAAATGTTGTCCACAAATAGAAGATTTGGAATAAAGACGGTAGTATTGCGATGAAGATGATTGGTTTAAGTCAGAGAGCAATATGAGAGATAACTTATTAAAGGGGCAGTACCCTTTTAAACAAATATACAAGCTTCCCCAAGTTGAACTGAACTCATAGAATCAATTCTATTGAGAGAGGACCTATTTTTTGCCATCATGGAGTGCTCTTACAAGGAGAAACGCGATGTTAGCTAAAGTCAAACGTAGTCAAATTAGCTCAGAAACAGGGCTTTGATGATTGGTTTCCTCAAACGAACAAAGTGAACATCTGACCTCGGGAGAGTAAAATACAAGACTAAAACTGAAATAGTGTGGCGCGACTGCTGAGGATAAGGGGTTTATTTACATACTGAAGTCGACTAACTAGTATTCAATAGTCGTTATTATTTTAAATAGGTGATTAAAGAGAAGATATTTTGCTGCTGGACAATAACGCAGCCTCCTTCATCAAAACCACCCTGCTACATCCATAGCTGCGTCATTCAAGCTGGGAAAACTGAAGTGTGATGGTTTGTGCAATGCGTGGACTAATAGAAGAGTGTCAATGGGATGTGTGATCTTGACGTTATATATATCAACAAAGGCCCTTTTTAGAAGAAATTTAAAAGTGTACTGTCTCTTTGAATCCCTTAGCCTGGAGGGTTGTTCTAATAGCTTAAGCTCCTCCCCCTTTCTGTTCTCACTCCGCTGGCATGGTCGCTCCCTCTCTAGCCTGACTTGGCCCCGACTAGAGCCATGAGTCCGTCTGTGCTCATGGACTTGGGACGCTCCAGAGGGAAGCCCAGCGCTCTGCTCCACACCAGCTGGGCGAGGACACCCAAAGCCCGGGATACGCCGAAGAGCACAGTGTAATAGTTCATCTCAGTCATGCCGTAATACTGTGAGAAACACAAGAGTAAACATGTGATGACTTTTAATGGGAGTGCAAACAGGAAATTAGATGTAAACTGCACATATTGACTTCACTCTTCGTGTACGAGCAGGCACAGCCATTGGAACCCATTTAGCTCGAGACTTCTGGTCTCATTCACTTCCATGGATTTTTAGATGTTTAAAACAGCTCGTTATGCTGCAAACTTATATTATCTAATTACATTATTCTACTGTTTATGTAGTCCTGAACACTGAGCGAGCAGTTTGACTGTTTTCTGCCATTTACTATTCCTTGTCATTTCTCCTATAGGCAACTGAATCAGAAGTTCTAAAACAATCGACCTCTATATTGAAGAATAAGGTCCAAAGACAAGGGTTATGTAAAAAAATATATTAGGGATGCACAGAAATCTTAGCCTCCAAAAATTATCGTCTAAAATTGTAATTTTTAGTTGTTAGCTGAAAGAGAAACACCGCCAAAAATGTCAGGCAAAAGAGGGGTTATGCTCCGTCACTTTGTTTCAGTGTTCAGTGCGTTGGTTTCACTCTTCCTCCAGGGGTCCGTTCTTCGTACTTTGCTTAAATGATCTAAGAAGATTTAGCAGATCCTGGATCTTTTAATCTTAATAACAGATTTCTGGCTAATTTGGTTCTTTAAACATATTCACTAATCAGATAAATTGTCTAGATGAACTGATCTGAGATTGTTGTGTTTGTTGATCCTCAAAATCATGATCAGCAATGCAACGATTGGCTGAGGGCACAGCAGTGTCATCTGACTAATATTCAATTATCCATGTGAGCAAAATTACATCAATTTCGTAGTAAACAGTTTGTTAAATATGACACACAATAACTTTCCAACTTTGTTGTGGGCTGCAAGATTTACACCATGTGTCAAGAGCATTTAGCAATTTATTTAGTTCTAATTTTAGGGCAAATTTTCATTATAGTAGCCTATAGGCCTATTCAAGATCTTAATAAATGGCTGTTTAAATTAATTTTGCATCAAAAAAGCATTTTAATATCGGTAAAGGTGTCTGCAAATTTTGCAAAGCATCAAATTATCGGCACATTAGTTTTCAGAACGTGTGCATGGCTGCATAAATCTTTATTACTTTCCTTAAAAAAAAAAAGAAAAAAAAATATTGTCTATTATCTTTTACTAATTGTACCAAAGCTGGGTTGGTACTACCTTAAAATAGTTTGCATCTATAAAATGTGTCTAAAAAATCTTATATATATATAAATGTTCTCAATCAACCCCTTGGGAAGAACCACCCCGTTACAGTCTTTGTACTTTTAGTTTGGACTGTACATTCCTTTACATTTTTTTAAAACCTCTATTAAAAGTTTAAAGTTCTGAGCTTATACACCAGGGCTTATACGCATGCACACTGGATTAACTGTAGCAGCAGGCCATTCATATATCGCGTCTTTTCAGTGTGCAAGTTTGTCATTTCCAATATTAAAATATATGCCATAATGCGTGCGCAAGCGGAGTGATGTGCTTGCGCCTTCCAGATGCACAGAGTAGAAAACATTTCACGCTGTAGCTGTGAGTTGTGCGTGGCTTTCAGTGCAATCTAAACAAAAGATATTTAAACAAATGAACTAATACAGATTATTAAAATGATTATGCATGTATGAACACAGATAATACCAACAGTTCATTTAAATTCTTACCTAATATAAAGCTTAAATTTACATTAGACGTGATAATCGTGAAACCATGATTATTCTTCAGACTATATGATGGCACAACCAAAATCTTTATTTTTTGCATCTATAATTGTTATGCAGTTCAAAACAAAACATATGACTGTGTCTAAATGTAGAAGAAGCCTACTTAAGCTATGCACTGCTTTTGTTGTGCTTTGAAATGCAACATTTGAATGTTAAAAAAAAAAGCCACATTGTATAATGCAGGGATGTTATGTGGTTTCAAATTACAATATATTAACATTTTAATGTTGAAAAAAACAACAACATATGGGCTCTTATATGCTGTTGTGTCATCCCTTATATTGCAAATCATATCTTTCCGGCGCCTCATTTGGGATGCTTTTCATGAACTGGCCCCCATGACAAACAAATTGAAAAGCCCTGATTTACATATTCAATATAAGATGGTGAAAAACGAAATCCCTTTACAAAAACAACAGATCTTCACTAAATTCACCACAGATCAACTTTCAATCAAAAATGTATGCATACTAATAGCTGGATTCAGTTTTCTTACTTGCAACAGGACTCCGCTGTGTGCATCTACATTGGGCCAGGGATTCTTGGCTTTGCCCTGCTCCAGAAGCACATTGGGTACGATCTTGTAAAGCTGAGCGACCAGCTTGAACATAGGGTCATTGGGAAGGTGCTTGAGGGCAAACTCTCGCTGACAGGTGTAGCGAGGGTCTGTCTTCCTCAGCACAGCGTGACCATAGCCTGGCACAACCTAAATGAGCACATCAGAGGTAACAATCATATTTCAATCCATCATATTTTTATGCTACAAAACAAAACACAAGCACTCACTCTGCCTGATTTGAGCGTGTTCCAAATGTAATCTCTCATTTTCTCATCGGACACCTCACCACCGAGTTCCTTCTGCAGGGCTGTCAGCCACACCAGCACCTCCTATGGGACAGAGAAGGAAATTAATTAATGAAATGCAAAGCTTGTGGATATTTTAGAACCATTTGTCCTGTACAATACAAAGCACATTGAGGCTCAAACCTGATTGGCCAATCCATGCAGGGGTCCTGCCAGACCATTCATAGCAGCGCTGAAGGAGAGGTAGGGGTCGGATAGTGCACTTCCTACCAGGTGACTAGTGTGTGCGCTCACGTTTCCACCCTCATGGTCACTGGAGACCAACACAGAAGCACACAAAGCGGTTAGGATTACAGTCAAAGGTCAAGCAACTAGATCAGATTGATAAACTTATGACCACAAGAGGGCAGACTTGATTCATTTAAATACTCTTATATTCCTATTATTTTCTGTACAAAACTTAGAACAGCAAGTCATGAGTGTTCTTGCTGGCTAAACATTTTAGTTTAATATCACTAGTCAAAGGAATATGCATCAATAGATGCAAGTAATGTGATCATTTCTTGAGCAATAGATTAACAAGAGCTTTATGAATTTATGATCTGATATGAACCGTTTAGTAAACAAAATATGTATAGCCAATAAAAAAACTCTACAGCATGAAACCCTGATCATTTATACACGTAAATGATGTAAAGCGGAGTAATATTTTTGTTGTTTTGATGCAGTTTTTTTTTACTGGGTATTTCTTGAACAAGCATGAATTATAAATTAAAAATAGTATTAAATTTTTTCCAAAGTTCTTAGGAAACTCATACGGAGATAAATATTCAATTAATTTTTTGATCATTATATGTATATAATTTTGATGCATGTATATACAAATATCCAAGTAGCTCCTGACCAGGGGTCCGTTCTTCGTACCTTGCTTAAATGATCTAAGATGATTTGGCAGATCCTGGATCTTTTAATCTTGATAACTGATCTCTCGTTAATGTGGTTCTTCAAATGAGTTTGCGAATTAGATTAGAATGTCTAGATAAACTGATCTGAGATCGTTGCGTGTGTTGTGAAGGACAGATCTATCGATCCTCGAAATCATGATCAGCAATGCAACGATTGGTTGACGTCACAGCAGCGTAATGACATCATCTTATTAATATTCAATCATCCATGTGAGCAAAATTACATCAAATTAGCAGTAAACGGCTTGTTAAATATGACACGCAATAACCTTCCACATTTGTCATGAGCTGCAGGCTTTACACTTTCATGTGTCAAGAGTATTCATCATGTATTTCAATGCAAATCAGTGTATTTATTTAGTACTACATTTAGAGAAGATTTTCTTTATTATAGTAGCCATTTTTTAATCGGTGTAAAGAATAACTGGTTGTTTACAAAAGCATTTTCATATTGGTAAAGGCGTCTGCAACTTTTGTGAAGCATCAAATCACTGGCATATTAATTATCAAAACATGTTCATGACTGCATAAATGTATTATTGCTTAAAAAAAAAAAAGTCACATATTGTGCATTTCTATTATACACAATTTGTACTAAAGCGATCTTAAAAGTTTATATCAATAAGTTTTCTCTTTGCACCAGCAGGTGGCAGTCTTTGTACTTTCATTTCAAGGGTGCAGATTGCATACGTTTTATTAATATGTATAACTTTATTTATTTTATGACTATAACTTTATATATATATATATATATATATATATATATAGTTAAAAAATATGTACCATTTTCCCAAGTGTATATAACTTTAACTGTAAGAAAATATCAGAATTCGGAACATACTTTCTGTATTATCTTTGCTTGAACTAAGCCGATCTAATCCTGTTTATATGAATTGAACCTGCTCCCGATCAGGTTTGACCAAGCAGAACTGTTGCTATGACAACAACTCTCGGATCAGCTTTGAAGAACGAAACGATCCTGGATCGTGTCAAATCGTCAACATCCAAATCCAGCTAAATGAGTAATCCACTTACGAAGAACGGACCCCAGGGATTACAACATTTGGTTTTAGTTAAAGCTGTTAGCCCAGCTGTAAAAATGCACCCCCTCTGAAATGTGCATCTATTAACCTAAATTGAGACTATTTTTTAATAATGGAGTTATACTAATGACAGTGAACCCTTCTTTACAGAACAGGAAGATGTAGATGTTTGCCTAATTTTGGAAACAGGCTCATCACAATACGTCTTCTACAATACAGTGATTTTTTTTTTTTAATTTACATCTATATGTTAACCAAGTAAGTTTTAAAATGGGTTTCACTTACCGTTTTTGCTTTACTCAACAAAATAATAATCATCTTATGTTTTAATCAATTGTGGCCTTTTTTTAATGAACACTGAGAATTTTAATCCTAAAGTCTATGAAGGGGGTGCATTTTACGAAGGGGGTGCATTTCTCAACACAACACCTGTTGCATAACGAATGAGCAAGTATATTCTTTTCAGCATGCATGTTCACAACCAGGATTCATACCCGGAGCAGGAATGTAAGCAGTGTGTCAACGTGAAGCAGGAGCGGTGCAAGAGGCGTGCGGGTATGTTTTCTGCAAGCATGCATCAGTTTGTTTTTGATTACATTGCTTTCACCAGTATTGGTTTGGAGAATAATGTCTTCATATAACGAAAAAAAGTATTTCATGGGAAGATATTTCTGCATGATAAATTTGAATGCATGACTCATGCCAAATGCGTCAAAGTTGCCAGCCCTGGGTTGCACATAGAGAATAACGTCTTTATATAACGATAAAAGTATTTCATGGGGAGGATTTTTCTGCATAAGAATACTGTAAATTGCATGACTCTCAAGCACTCTGGCAGCTCTGCTCCTGACACAATATGACCAAGTAAAACAGTATATAGATTTTAAATGCATTGAAAAGGTCAAATAATTACAGCATTTTATATAAAATTATTCATTCAAATTCTAGTCCTACTTAATCATTGTGAAAAGCACCGTGCTTTCACTTTCACCCTTTTTATCAGCAATAAATGTGACAACCCTTTCAACTAGCACAGATTACAAAACTCAATTCAAAGTCCTGTTGCACACTGCTATGAATAAAACTAAATAATCTTGATTAATCTGTCAATTATTTATTAACCCACTAATCAGATAAAGACTCATATTTGTAAAAAAAAATATTACTTTCCAAGCTGAGCATATCTTCAAGTTACGGTATAGCATATTATTGTAATTTAAGATCACACTTTTCTCTGTAATTTACCTGTAGTTTCAGAATGTGGCAATCTGTTCTAGGAAGAGCCAACATAGTATTGTTTATGATTTTGATTGAAAATGGCCAAACTAATCTTAAATATCACGTCCATTCTGTCTTCTGAACAGGGCTAGAAACACAAGCTTCACAAACCTGCTTCTTGTCTTCAAGGCTAAAATCTCAACATTTCACAGAAAACCTTGCAAAGACTGAGGGCGATGATGACAAAGGTTAAAATGCAAGCTGACCTCATTCCTAAACACGCTTATGAAAGGAATTTATGATGAATGTTTGAGTGAGCCTGTAGGTCATAATCACCTGTGGATGGTGAGGTAGAGCCTCATGAGCTCTGTGAACTGTGGCTCGGTGTATCCCAGCATGTTGGTGAAGTTATGTGACCAGTCCAGGTTGGAGTCAATGGCGCCGATGCTGCTGCCTTCACGGTATAAGTTACGGTAGATCTTAGCTGCCACGCAGGGGAGCTTGGCGATCAAGTCCATGGAGTCCTCATACACAAACTAAACAGAAGGGACAAAAGTTCACAATGATCTATTTGTAATTATCTTAAGCCTAGCTCACACTGTGTGACTTTTAATAATCCTAAATCAGTGTTTCTCAACCACGTTGCAGGAGGACAACCAGCTCTGCAGATTTTACATGTCTCCTTAACCAAACACACCTGATTCAGATGATCAGTTCATTAGCAGAAACTGTAAGAAATGTAATGGGTGTGACAGACAAAGGAGACATCCAAAACATGCAATGTTGGTGGTCCTCCAGGATTGCAGTTGAGAAACACTGTCATTTTTACTATCCCACATTATTTATACCTCACGGCAAACATGAAAATTTGTAACAGAAATTTTGGTCATAGAGTGCCTCAATAAAAGCAGAAAAAAGCTGTTTTGACATTTTCCCCGTGGTGGTTTGAAGTTGTGGTGCTGATTGAGTCATCAGATTCGGTGCTTATTAGAGTGAATTTACACAGAAGATCTTAATAGTCAATTCCAATTTTAACCTCCTAGGGCTTAGTTGCCACATACGTGGACAGCGCATTTTAGCTCCTAAGTGGCTATTTAAAATACTTTAAATGTTTTATATTTTGTTACAGACATACAGTGTCATCCTGCAACTGTTTTGCAGCATATGAAACGTCCCAAACACTATTTTTAGCTCTCCAAAATGGGCAAAAATGTTGTTTTTACTCTCTGATAGTCAAAACACGTAAAAAAAAAAAAAAAAGTGTTATATATGCATTAAAAACAGCAAGGAAAAAGTGTTTTATGTAAATTCAGACCACGAGTCCTCATATATGGATATCACTTTTCTCTAACAGTACATCATATCAAAAGATTATACTTGGATTTTGTTCTAATCAGGCTCCTGTAAACTCAAATAGCAAAGAGAAATAAAAAATGCATGTAAAAATAAAAAACACCTTGGGCCTTAAGAGGTTAAGACTATCCAATTTTTTGACGACCCGCGATCTTGACTCGTATCTGATATCTGCATTTACAACGCACACGGCAAAGATAAAATAAAAAAAAAAAAGTAGGCACTGACTGACAGCTGTGATAATAAAAGAGCACTCTTTTCTCCATTCGTGTATTAATCTGTTCACAGGGTTTCGTTTTTTATTTTATTTTTGGCAAGTAGTTTAGCTATAGTTTATGACAGAAAAGCTCTCATTCTGCCATCTTCTTTTAATCTAGGCTATTTTAAACCAGTAGGCATCTTAGTGTCATGCCATGGCGTGATTTCTGTACATGATCCATGCAATAGTTTTACATTAGTTTATATTGTTTCTTACGCTCGCTCTCTCACTAATGTGCTTAAATACCTGTGCTTAATGACAATAGAAAAATATTTTTGTCCTTGTATATGAGATTTAAGATTTGAGACTCTGCTTATGCCTGGTCCAAAATGAAGGCATCGAACATGACATCATTCGCTATCGTTTTAATGACATGCAACTCACATTGACAGGTAAAAATCCAATCTACCTGCTTACACTGAAGACACGCATCCCATTCATATCCGATCAATTTCTACATATGAACAAGGCCTGAATCTGATCCAAGTAAACCGGAACCCATGTGATTTCTCTCACATACATGGGCCATTATACAATCTGTGCCACATGGGAAAGTGGAAAAAAAAACAATATTAATAATAAATTAAAAAAATCTGAATTGTGTCACTTGGGGTGTAAATGCAGCTTTATTGGTTCTTAGTTTGATGCTTGCTGCCACTTTAGTCACACTGCATGAAAGAATCTGAAATCTACCGAAACTCCCAGAACTTTATTGCCGTTGTGATAAAAATGTTCCTTCCAATTAAGTAGCTGTCAAACCAACGATCATATTACAGGAATATTTTAGGATTTCCCAAAATTGTCCCAGATGACCAAATCATGGCTGAAAATATACAGTGTGAGCAGGGCTTTAGTCATTTTAATGTTTATAATAACAAGCTTTGCCTTTTAAGATTCTAGTATAAATATTTGCAGTGACTCACCTCCCAGTACTTGGCCTTGTTAACTCCCTCAGAATACGCCCGAGCGAAGCTGCTCTCGCTGTTCAGAGCAGTGATGGCGGCGCTGAACTGAGACATGGGGTGCAGGTTGGTGGGAAAGTTGTCCAGCATGGTGACCACGTGAGAGGGAAGGGCTGCGCGCTTGGCCCACTCCTTAGACAGCCAACTGACCTGAGGAAGCAGGTGCGAGTAGAGTTAACGATGGGCCAAATGATTCTTGTACTAATTAGAAAATACTACAAGATTTGTCATCAGTGCAGTCAATACATGGTTCTATTTACACCTGGTATTTAGATGCATTTCATCAATCAAATCGTAAGTTAAACCTAAATACAGGTTTAAATGGCCTTCAGAAAAATGTTCACTTTCTCCAGAAGTAGTGGGAAACGATTGGATTGCTATTATAGTGCGGATGCTCATGTGGTTGCATGTGTTCAAACAGGCACAGAAGACTAGCTACTTTACACCTACCAGCCTCATTTTATAACATACTGTAATAGGATGAGATGTTAAAGCACACTGGCTTAAGAGGATTTAACAGTGCTGTCAAAAATTGCAAGTTTGTTGAAAAAGGTGAAAATGTTTTTTAAAGCAAACGTTCTCTGTAAAAATGTTCATGGAGTTTTTGTTTTTTTGTGTTTGTTTTTTTCACTGTCCTATATTGAATTTTTTTTTTTTGCAGACAATTGAGACAGAAAACAGGAATATAAACGAGGAAATATATTGTGGATGGTGAGGTAGAGCCTCATGAGCTCTGTGAACTGTGGCTTTAAATGTATTTAAACTAGCATTTCTTGACTAATCTAACACTAAATGCTAGGCCAAAACTTTGCTAATAGTTCCTCTATCAGGCCTTGAATAGTTGATGTAGTGAATAGACAATGTAGTCCTCCTCACCTGCTCCTCAGTGGGCACCTGCCCTGTGACCAGCAACCAGAACAAACCCTCCGGCAGTGGCTCCTCTCCACCAGGAGCCTTGGGCAACAACTGCTGACACTCTGGAATGCTGTAACCACGGAAACGGATGCCCTAAAGATAAAATCAATAAACACAGGGAGGGCGTCAGAACGTTCGACTAAAGCTCTCAATGTTTACTTCATGTAAACTCGAAGAGGGTTCAGGGGTTAGTGGGGGAACTACTGGACCAATGTATATTTATCAAAGGCATTGTGGTGCCACTTTCTATTTATAGCTTACAGCAGCATAGCTGTGCTATGTACAAATAACATGCTGCATCTACAACACTGTGGACTTTCTTCCTTCACTGTACATTTTCACAACCTAAAATCCATATTTGACATGTCAAGGCTGAAAGTTGCACACTGGAATTATATTTTGACCTTGTAATTGATTAATACTAATAATTGATATAATACTAACAATACATGTATAACAAATAAGATTAACAATTAACATCGGGTTTAAGCCATATTTTATCAATCCCAGGCTGAGAGTACATGATTCATAGTGTTCGTGTACATGTGCTTGAACATTAAAGCAAAAAAAAAAAAGAATGCGTGTACTTACCTCATCAGGGTCTAGTACAGATGTCTCGTAAACTAAACCCTTCATCCCTCTCATTCCTCCATAAACCTGTTAAGCACAAAAACATTACTGAGATACCTTGTCAATACTTGTTTCTGAACAAGTAGCCCTCCTCCTCATTCCTCGGCATCTATCTCATGTGTCTAGCACTAGTCACACAAGTTGTAATGATGGTTATGGAAAGAAAGTGTACCAACACAGTGCATCAACCTCTGCTGCTCATCCTAAACACTAATGCAGACCAGGGTTTCCCATATATGCCAATGATGTATACTGGTGGAAGTGGCCTCTGTCAGCAGGGTAATGTACCCATGCTACACACATTGTTCAGGAATAGTTTAAAGAACAGGCCACAATACAGTTGAGCATTTGTAAAATATGCTGGAACAAAATGTACAATTTATAATGGCGTACATGACTTGAAGCAGAAGTGAGAAACATTGATCTTGGAGAGTCAATGTCCTGCATACATTAGCTCCATCCCAGAATAAAATACCTGCCTGAATCCTGAAGAAAACCTTGATTAGCTTATTCAGTTGTGCTTGGTTAAAGTTAGAGCTAAAACCCTTCAGAGACACTGACCCTCCAGGATTAGGGGTGCCCAACTCAGTCCTGGAGGGTCAATGTCCTGAATAATTTAGCTGCCTGGAAGTTTCTAGTATACCTAGAAAGAGCTTGATTAGAGAGTTCAGGTTTTCTATTAGGGGTTGGAATAAAATATGCTGAACACCGGCCTTTCAGGACTGAGTTTTGGCACCCATGACTTTAAAGATCATCTGTATTCCACTAGATGACACAGGACATCTTCAGGGGTCTTGTAGAGTCAATGCCTTGGCAGCTCAGCACTGTTTTGGCAGCATTTAGAAGACCAAAAGCACATTCTGCAGGTCTTGAGGAGATTAATAAATGATGCTCATATGGTGCAGTTTAATCTGCAATATAGAATAACTGGCAGTGAGACAAAGACCAAATGACTCAGCTGAAAGAACTACACTCACTCCACAGCCTGAAGGTCCTTGACAAAACAGCCATCCAATCAGAGACCAAAAAACTATTACTTTGTTCATGGTGGTTTGCGTCACCACATCATGTGAGACTGAACTGGTCAGGAATCTTAGGCAACACTTGCTCATTTCGTTAGTTTGACAAAACAGAATTTGGCTTACTGCACTGACAGGGTGTCCTAAATTTAAGACACATTGGTGATTAACAGTGATGAAGTAACTCACAACAGTTCTTAACCCGATTAATGTCACCCCATATTTTGAGTTCACACTCAAGTGAAATATGCATATGATAGTTTACAAAGATAAATTCAGGTTTAGACAAAAAAAAATGCCTAAGAAAATCTGCCTATTTAATTGTGATTGTAATGTAGCCTAAATGGATGAGCAATAAGAAAATCCCAGGTAGATTTACAGGAACAGTAAATGTAATGTTGCTGCTCTCACCATGTCCACCGTGATCTGACCAATTGAGGTTTTGCCATACTGCTGTTTGAAGTTCTTGATCCTGCTCTGTTCTTTAGGGACGAGGTCTGACAGGACATCTTTCAAATTCTACAGAATAAATGAATAGTCATTGGTTAGTGAATCTCCCACAGATTCAACAGCAATCGTGTGCACTTAAAAGAAAGTAATGTTTGATGTTCAAAAAAGTATGCTTATGAGTGACTTGACTTCATATTCCCATCAAAGGTATGCTTGTGATTTTATCTCGGAAGTGCAATTAACATCTGAAGTCTGTCTTTGATCGGAAGGTGCAGTCACGTACCGTGGATGCGCTGGCATTTCTGGCAGCCACAACAACACATGCTGCATTCTGGAAAAGAAAAGAAAACAATTACTTTGATGGAAAATGCAATGCAGAGGGAGCTATCACCCTAGCCTCGACTAACAGACAGATTTCACTGCAGCAGCTCCGCTGACAGCTGCAGGGCAGGTGACTTGAGTTGCACAATGCAAAATGTTTCAGTTGCCAAGGCAATGTCCTTTTTTTTCTTGGATTCACATTACAAGCATCTTATTACAAGTTTCTACAGGACCAAATGTTTTGAAGACAAACACTCAGAAAACACTGCAATCTTTGTATTTAAGCTTTTTTGCATATGTATTTTCATGTAGAATACTGACCTTATTCTGTCATGTGAGAGTGGGTGCAGCCATTCTATCATTATTTGCTCAAGACTTTTTGTCCTGTTCATGTTCACTTATTTTTTTTTAGCCATTAAAAAACAGCTTATGTTGCTTCATATTACATTTGTCTTATATTATTTTTATGTATTATCATAAACACACTTGTTTGTAGACCAAGTGGTAACTAGCTAAGAGAAAGACAAAAAAGAATTAGCCGAAAAGTGTACGTCTTCTATGCAGAATAAAGTCAATAACAGAGCCACTTGGAAATGTAAAAGGTTTGTAAAGTTTAAAAGATAAAAAGCAATTCAGTCAATCTCTAGAAGTCGTCAATTATAGACTATTCTAAATCTCTTAGGGTGTTTTCACACTTGGTTCAATTTTTCCTTCTGAACCCCAGAACGCGCAAGTCATTGAGCTGCTGTTTTGTGTACAGCTGTTACTAGGTGACGGACACGAAAGCAAAGCGCCAAAATGGTAAGACGTCCACACATCGCGGCCATTCTGTTTGTCCTGAATCTTTTGTTTTGGGAGAAGATAAGTAGACATTGTCACTGTGATTGTCCTGGTTCAGGACAGTACGTGACACGCATGCACGCACACACAAATAAACGTCATGAAAACGATAGCTTGTTGTACAGTTATTTGGTACAATTGCATTCATACTAGTAGTGAATCGGACCAGAGTTCAGGTGAACCATACCCCAGATCACCTCTTTCAGGCGGACTCGGGTAAGGTTCATGGGTGCGCACCAGAGTTCAGAAGACACGTTCACACTAGCTAAACGTACCATGCTCTGACATCAAACGAACCTGGGCGAAGACCAAAAGTGCTAATGTGAAAGCACCCTCATATACACCTGTATGTGGCACTGGCAATGCAACTTAATACCAGGTGCAAACAGAGCAAAATACAGTGTGATTAAAGACATCACGCTGCAATGTATCATTTGACCTTGAAGAGACAACCCCTTTTTTTAGACTTTCAACATACTAGACTCCTTTAAAATAGCATATATAGCATTTCTTTAGACCAAAAGACACTTACTAGAAAGTTGAGATCATTTTACCTCTAGCCATCTTGTCAATCATTAGCATCCAATTAATTATGTTATAATTACATGTGTTATTATGAGGATATGTGGGGATCCATCCTCCAAATGTAATGCCAATATTTATGACCCAACTCAACAGATTTACAAATTGTTAATACTTCACAATAGTACTGCACAATATTGGAAAAATCTGGCATTCCAATACTTTGTTTTGCCGCATTATACATTGCAATACATATACAATTTCACCAGATGACTTGTATAACTCTATTCTAAAAATTTAACTCATTTAAATCGACAGGGTTGATCAAGTGTTTTTTTATGCAGTTTTTATACATTATAATAAATTACAAGCAAAAATAAGCTTTCTAGGGAGTCTTAACAGTTTTAGAGTACAGAAATTGATCAATCAAATGTAAAATAACATGGTCAACATTGTATAAACAATTTTAAAGTAATCATATCTTTATCTTTTATTCTCTAATACATAATCTAATCCTGCAATGTGTACTGTGGATACACTCATGTCGAAATCGATATAGTCACACTAATGGAAATGGAAGCACAGCGAGACAATATATTCTGTAGAGACAGATAGACGGAACCAATAGATAATTGTAATATGGCTGAGCTTTTCTTACAGTGAGACACATCCTTTATTTCTATATATAGCTTTAGATTAAGAGCCATGTTTGATTGACACAGAGCAGGACTGGAGATAAAGTGCCACTGCAGAATGACTCAAGCACAAACGGACGTAGGACTGGCAAGATGTGTAAGAGAATTGAGGGGGCTGAGATTCTTCAAACAGAATATATAAATCACTGGAATCATCATTAATTCTTTCCACACACAAATTGACAGACGTTTATAAAATTTAGCTGACATGCTTTGGACTAAAAACAAAGCCAATCTTAAATAACCTTGGATTATTAGTTAGAGAAATAAGAAGAAAAAAAATGTCCATTGATATGGTTTATTTTTGCACCCATTTAAGTCTAAGACACGCATGGCATTTTTTTAATTTGACAGGACTCCAGTCAATGCTGATCCTGGAAGTCACACTGATAAGATTGAGCGGGATTACGCAGCGAATCATTGCGGCTTCCTGAACATGAGCCAATAATTCCTACTCCACAAGCCTCCTGATCATCATGTGGGTCAGTGACACCAGACACCCGTCACTCTGGCCTACAGCTAAAGATTTCACTCCAGCCAGAAATAAAGTGCGGCCTGATGTCTTGCATAACATACAGTAGCCGTGTGACCAGACAAACAATCCAATCGGGTTTAGAGCTCAATTAAGGGGCGGTCTTTATTGTTGCTGAGAAGTAACTGCTAGTCTCTGACCTTCCTCCAAGTCTACGGTGGTGTAATCTGTGGGAAAGGTGAGGCTAGCAGCAGCTGATTGACCTGGTGTGAGTGCATCAGAGCATGATTACATAAACCTCTGTACTGTAATAACTGAATACTTCCAGACATGCCAAAATCTATGCATTTCACATAATCATCACAGAGGTGAATGCATACATTTTAATGTACTTCAAATTGAATACTTAGACTTGCATCATTTCTTTGAAATAGTTTGTGGATTTTTACAGCATTTTACTAAATTTGTAGCAAGTTCTCTGTACAATGGACATGGCTTGAGCTCTAAATATGTTTAAATATGTTCAGGACCGGAACACACCAAGTTGACGGCAAGCATCTAGCACCAACAAAACGCAAAAGTTTTCTCGTTACGCAAAGGAAAATGAACTTCTGACATGCAGAGACAATGCGTAAACAAAGCAGTTTTTTGTGTAATTATCACAGTAATTGTCACTCTCTTCACCCTAAACAGATTCTATACACTGAATTGAGCCAATGAGCTTCGACATTAACCCGACAAGAAGAGATGTGTGGAACACACCAAACCAACTAGCCTGACCAACAGACCGACGAAGCGCGACGGCCAACCATTGGCTTGGTGTTTCCAATCACATATATGTCTGTTGAGCATGTAAAAAACAGCCAATTAGCAGTGTTTAGAAACCTGTTCAACAGAGCACAAATGTTAGTGGGAAATGGACTTTATTGGAAAGTATTTATGATTGGTACCGAAGTCAACACTTTTGAAATCCGTACTAGGCACTGGTACAATTTTAATAATATCTATTTGGCATCATAAAAATCCAAATGATTCTCAACCCTATTAAAAGCAGGTGTAAATGAAGCCTAGGTCTGTGTGATTCTCTGGAAAATGAATATGGCTTAGGTAGGGCTGTGCAATATGACAATACAAAGCAATTTAAAAAGAACATTACAACTTTCGGGTTGATGTCTCTAGAGTGGCTAAAGGGGATTGTACTGAACATCTATTAACTTGTTTTCTATTGAAAAAAAACTTTGCTAAGTACTCTTCACTTGACTAATTACCCAAGGTTACATTATGTTTCTTTAATTAAATAAAGATTTGTGGTATTGTTTTTGAATCACCCTGTGTATATTTTAAGGATAAAATAAAAAGGCTACCGTTTCATATTACGCTCTATCATTTATTTTGTGGGGTCACAAATTAAATTGTTTACGGTAAAGCTTTTTCATAATTTATACGAGCGCAATATTACACATCATTATGGGAAAGCAGACAAAAAAATATAAAGTATATAACAGCATCGTGAGAAAATCGAAATATTGAAAATACAAGTTAACACTTTAATAATAATAATAATACATTTTATTTGTAAATGGAGCCTTTCTGGACACCCAAGGCCACCTTACAACAAGGATCAACAGCCATACCAGGACAAATTAAAACAATGACTTAAAAATTGCCAAATAAATTTTAAATACATGTAAGGAGTTGCAAGTACAAACACATTGCGAGTATAAAATAACATGATAAAACATGAGAAAAAAATCCTTAGGTCCAAGGGAAGTGAGTTCCATAGTCGAGAAGCTGCGGAGCTAAAGGTTTTGGCTCCTATTGTGCTTAATCAAGTGTGGGATATTAATTATATTAATATTTCTACATTTTCAAACGTTTGCCTTTTAGTTGTAAATAAGATGAGAAACATTATCATGTCAAATCGTATCATTTACCCCAACAAAATAATCAGCTTTTAAGTTTTACTGTCCATCCTGAAAAAGCTACTACATGTCAATCTACTTGGAGAACCGCCCATGCTACAGTATGAAACATTGACCTTGAAAACAGCAGTAAGATAATTACAGACACCATCACAACTAAGACGCACACACAGGCTACTAGTCAGCTAGGAAACCTAACGCCAACTATGATGACCTTTGACTTATTTCTGCTGCATCCTAATCCACGTAACAAGCCTACATGCAGAACAGACACAAGAGTCGGCAGGTTAGCAGAGGCTCCTGAAAATACGATATGGAGGAATTACTGCAGACAAAGTTGCATTACTGCAGACTGCAGACAAAGACTTTCTGTGAGCTTTTCCTTTAGGAAAAGAAAGTGTATGATTGTCAGGCAATGCTCTAATGGTTTCCAAAGCTTGTCCCTGCGTTGTTTAAAGGAAAACATCATTTTTTTCGCAGATGACAGGTGGACAGCTGTGTCAGACTGGTCAGACGTGTTGGGTGAGGCCGTCCGCCATTTGAATGCTTTATCGGAAACGAATCTTTAAAAACACTACATGTAAAAATCTATTCATATATTCAAGAAAAAAAATCTATGCAGCATCCTTTAAGTTTATTTACTTTAAACCCTTACAAAGCAGACTACTAGATGTGAACCAAAAAAAAGTAACATTAGGATTTATGGTACAAAAATCTGACTCTGCCATCATATGGACAGATAATCAGCGGATTACATAAGTCTAAAAAAGGCAGAAAACTCTATGGTGTGCAAAGGTCATCTAGGGGTGTGAACGGAGCATTAACCCAAGAGCACAGTAACCTATATTACTGTAGTCATTCAGACAGAGTGGCGTGGGGTTTATCTCTACAGCAAAAACTATGATGACTGTATAAGTGTTATGAGAGGACAACGGAGACAGTATATGATTAAAGTACAGGTTTATATGGTTGATAAGTGCCCTTTGACACTACTTGCACTCATTTGTGCTCATCATAACGTACAAGTCAGATGTTCAACATCATCAGCAGTCACACAAGTTGCTGAAGGCGTTTATAAAGCAAACTTGTATAGCTCGTAGCCACAGAAATCACTAAATGTTAAAGATTACAATCCCAGCAAGCTTTTTTTTTGTTTTTGAAAGATGTCTAATAGATGTCTAAACATAGTCGACTTGGCTAAAACAAGTCTAAATTAGGTCTAAGTATAGGTCAAAATTAGACTAGTCATCAAATAAACAGAAATGAATGACTACACAAAGTCTGTCTAATCTGTCTATTTGACAACTAGTCTAGTTTTGGGCTATTCTTAGATCTCTATTAGATTTTCACTGAAAGCCCAAGTTTAGCCTCGTCTTAGCCAAGCTGTCTACAATTAGATGTCTTAGACATCTATTAAATGCAAAACTGTTTGCTGGGATGTCACTAAAAAATAAAAACCTTTCACAATTTAGGAAAACATTTTCATGTTACGAAACCATTTCCGAAACTTCAAATGAGGTTTTACTATTGAGGAGTGTTTTTGCAATGCAAAAGTAAGGATTAGATTACAGATTCATTGAAAACACAGGATTACACTTATTGCTAAAATACAGCACAATGGTGTATTTGCAATGACCTAGCACATCCAAAAACTACTAAAGCTTGAAAATTATTAATAGATCCTATTCTGAAGGTCAAATCAGACACAGAGACCAACAAAAGGTCTGACTTGTCAGTTTAAACTGGTCCAGATGTCAAACTGACCGGTCAAATTTATTTACATTATCACAACTGAAAAACTGGTTAAAATTAGTTAGTGCCATGTGAAAGGACGCCAACCATGCAGCTGGACTTCAGATAGGAGTCGTATGAATATCAGACACCCAATATCTACATTTTTACAGTTCTTTGTCATGTATGCACCTCCATAGAGCTCAATTACGTTACACCATTCTCAAAGTAAAACGTAACATTATTCTTAAAGTGTCTCCAGATTTACCCAGTTTACTATACATATAGCATGTCTACAGTGGGTTTCATGAGGTTAAAAACAAAATGTAAATGTTTGGCATAGAAATTGAGCGACTATGAGGTTTATACATGCTGCCCATGTCTGGTTAGCAGATGTTTTAAAACACATTCGCCGACTTTATCATATACATAAAGAGTTATATAGACACAAATGCATGAACACACCGTTTTACACGTAAATAACCGAACGAATACGTTACATACGGTTTAATAATATCGAGCGTACCACACTGAGAGTCAGTTACTAAGGTAATCTATGCTACGCTAGGCTAACCGGGAAACGTTAGCAGTCAGTGTTTTTTAGACTCAAGTTAAAATAAAACTTTCCTACCTTTGAACTGAGGAGCCTTGGGGCTAGTCTGCTGATAGAGAGGAAGGACATTGTTCTTGTATATGTGTATAAATTTTACAAGTGGTTATTTATCGACCCCTGCTTGAAGGTGCCCCTCTCGCTACCGTGCTCGCAGTGAAGGTTGAAAAAGGGACTCGGGCCCTGTTGTAGGCGCGGTTTGGGTAAGATAGGGCCTGGTGAGGATGGAACGCGATCGCGTGATGTGATTGGTTGAAAACTAGAAAAAATAACGTGATTGGTTGAGACTCTCATCGCTTTTTGATTTGATTGGCTCACGAATGGAACGTAGCTTAATTATTCATAAGTACATGGTGGATTGTAGGTTTTTTAACTGCCTGTCTAGAAATAGAATGACAGATATGCTCATGCAGTCACGTGTTTTTTTTATTAAGTATTTTGGTTAACTTTGTAAGTGTAAGATCACGTTAAATCGTTTTAAAAATACCGAATATGTCGACACATCATAAATGTGAGACTTTAAAATGATCAACCTTCAATATATTACTGAATTCCCCTCAATATCAGATTTGTGCTCCATCCTAAAAAGATCCGAGACTGCCATGTACACAAAGATTTCATACTTTTATTGGGAAAAGGGTCGTTATATACAAATATATAGTTACAGAGGCTCAAGGACGTTCGTTTGAGACTTCATGCTGCCTGTAACATTGTCATGGCTCCAGTAGGAAGGATTTTTCCTTGGACCTACAGCACAACAGAACATTCTGGGGTTTGTTTAACTTGCATCACAATGTCAACACACAGAACTTACAAGGTTTCTACATATACATTTCAGCAACACATGAAGGTCATAAAATATAAGTTCAATAATGACATAAAAATTCCACCAGTGAATGGGGAAAAGCTGAAGGCAGGAGGAACAACCCATATCTCGTGTTTGATCAGTTTTAAACTATTTGTAATAGTTTTATTGCCATTTTCTCTGATGTTTTCTTATAATCATTCTTATATTCAGTTTTCTGATGTTTAAAAATGAGCTGGTGAACTTCTGGGTTAAACCGGCATATATATTTTACACTAATGCTCAAAAGTTTGGTGTCAGTAAGATTTTTGGTAACACTTCAGTTTAATTAGCAATTCCACTATTGACAACTGGCTTATTATCTGCCTAATATTAAGATATTGGCTGTTTATTGGTATTAATAAAGTGTGCTCTTGTTCTACATCCCTAATCCTACCAAATATGTACTGTCTGGAGCCAGCACCTAAGCTTTTCACTCATCATAGCACACGTGCTGCTGATGATGTGACAGTAAATGTGATTTGATTTGATATCTAAACCCAACTACTACCTTACTATTAATAAGCATTAAATTAAGTTAATTGATTTAAAATTCACATGTAATAGTTTGTTAATAAAGAGAATTGTACCTTAAAATAAAGTTGACCAGATTTTTTGTTTGTTTGTTTGGTTTGGTTTTTAAAGGACATTTCATATTCTGGCCTGAATTTATATGATTAAATATACAGTGGAATATCAAACACTGTTATTTTAACTATTCAATCTCTTTAATTTATTTTCCTTCGTCCCTTTATTTATTAGGTGTCACCACAGAGAAATGAACCGCCAACGTATCCAGCATGAATTTTACACAGAGGATGTCCTTTCAGCTGCAACCCAGTACTGGGAAACATTCATACACACCTATTCACACTCACAGCCAATTTAATTTATTCAATTCACCTATAGTGCATGTCGTTGGTGTGTGGGGGAAACTGGAGCACCCGGACGGAAACCCACGCCAACATGGGGTAAACATGCAAACTCCACACATAATTGACCCAGCTGGAACTCGAACCAGTGACCTTCTTACTGTGAGGTGACAGTGCTAACCACTGATATTTAATCTATTTTACAATATTTTAAAATGTCATTAATCCCTAAATTTTCAGAATCATTCCTTCAGTCTTCAGTGTCACATGATCTGAAATCTTTGTAATACACTGATTTTCTACTCATTATTAATAGAGATTGCAACAATGTATCTGTTAATAATTGGTATTGGTCAACTTTTAATTACATGCATTATCACATAAAGTGCCTTATTAGCCAATTATCAGGGCCAATTACACCCTGCCAATCAAAAGAGAGCAAGAAAACATCAGATTAGTGCTGTGAATAAAGATAATGTCTCCTGGAAGGAGTTACTGTTGAATTTGGTGATGCTAAAAGTTATGATGAAACAGAGACGCTTTTGTTTGTGGTGGGCTATTTTGACCATAAACTTTTTTAAATACATTTTTAAAATTCAATCAATATTTTAGTACGTCATTCATTTTCATCCGCTTTTCCGAGGCTGGGTCGTGAAGGTAGCTGTATTAGGAGAGAACCCTAGACTTCCCTCTCCCCAGACACTCCTCCAGCTCCTCCGGGGAGATCCTGAGGCGTTCTCAGGCCAGCCGAGAAACATAGTCCCTCCAGCATGACCTAGGTCTTCCCCGAGGCCTCCTTCAGGTGGGACATGCCTTGAACACCTCCCTAGGTAGGCGTCTAGGAGGCATCCGAAACAGATGCCTGAGCCACCTCAGCTGACTACTCTCGATGTGGAGGAGCAGCGGCTCTACTCTGAGCTTCTCCCAGGTGACAGAGCACCTCACCCTATCTATAAGGGTGCGCCCTCCCACCCTATAGAGGAAACTCAGTTCTGCAGAGATCTTGTCCTTTCAGTCATGACCCAAAGCTCATGACCATAAGTGAGAGTAGGAACGTATATTGACCAATAAATCGAGAGCTTTGTCTTTCAGCTCAGCTCCTTCTTTACCACAACAGACTGGTACTGCCCCAATCTGCCTGACAATCTCACGTTCCATCCTTCCCTCACTCGTGAACAAAACCCCAAGATACTTGAACTCCTCCACCTGAGGTAAGGACTTTCCTTCAAACCTGGAGATGGCAAACCACCCTTTTCCGCTGGAGCACCATGGCTTTGGACTTGGAGATGCTAATTGTCATTCCAGCTGCATCACACTTGGCAGCAAACCGCCCCAGTGCATGCTAAAGGTTGATGTTCAATGAAGCCAACGAAACAACATCGTCTGAGAATAACAGATAAAATCCTGTGGTCACCGAACCGGACCCCCTCCAGCCCAATTATGAACTGAATTAGTGACAAAGGGCAGCGAACATGCATTGAAAACAAGTCTGACTGCCGGCAATGCGAACCAACTTCTTCTTCTAACACTTGTTTTTCACTTAGTCTAAGGCAGGGGTGTCCAAACTCGGTCCTGGAGGGCCGGTGTCCTGCAGGTTTTAGCTCCAACTTGCCTCAACACACCTGCAAGGATGCTTCTAGAAAGCCTAGTAAGAGCTTGATTAGCTAGCAGGTGTGTCTGATTTGGCTTGGAACTGAACTTTGCAGAACACCGGCCCTCCAGGACTGAGTTTGGACATGCCTGGTCTAGGGTAACCTATATTATTTTTACTAAAACATTACACTACAGTTATTTTGATCAATAAAATACTCCATTGAATAATAAAAGCAACCATTTCTTCTTAACCAATATATAGGACCGACCCCATGCTTTTGAGCTGTGGTTTATAAACCATATATGCACGTATGAAACCACTCCATTATTACCAACGGATTATCAAGCTTTACCATAATCACTATTTTCACAAATACATCAAAAAATAATGAAACCCTGCATGAAGAATTTAAAACATGACCAAACTGCAACATTCACATCAATACTAAAAGGTTGGCTCACGTATGTTTTGGCACATTTAATTTGTAAACATGAAATCTGCATATGCATGACAACGCCAACAGAAAGAGTTGCCTGTCTGCTAATATATAGCTACACCCAGCGTTAAAAAAAACTGCACAGCAGGGTTTGACGTTCATAAAGAGATATGATGTATGCTGGAGACCTTATGAGGCTTCTGTAAACAGCAGCATGCAGTGCGATTCATTGATTTTTGTTCCCTTACAGTGAGGACGGCTTGTGTACTTACACTGCAATGCTTCGGATACTCGCTGTATGTGCACACGGCGTGCGTTGGGTTCACACACTGTATGCAATTCTTTGACATTTTTATCATTGATTTCTATTGCGATTATGAAAGAGTCAGTCAGTATGCAGCATCATGCAGCCGGGTTTGTCATGCATATAAAGAGCCAGGTTCAAATAACATGTCGCAGTTTACATTCAGTGAAATCTTCCACAGTGTAAGCTTGGTGCACGGATCATTTTGAGATTATCAGCCGATAAGAATGCACGTTTGACTTGGTTGTTAATGAATTAATGCTTTTATGATTTTTAATTTCATGTCAGCGATCTTATTTGAAGTGGTTATTGTAGTGCATGTGTATTTTAGCAATATATCGTCCACAATTGCTTCTAAATATCAACATCGTCCATTAAAAATATAACACTGGTTTAGTGTTACTGATGACACTTTACATTAAAATTCAGGGTTAACATTAGATAATGGAGTTGTTATTCATGTCAACTAAAACATTTGTTAAGCAGTTACTAATGTAAACACTAAAGTATTTATATTAATTATAATATTAATATTTACATTTGTTGTATCATTAAATTTATATCATATATATTAGGGCTGCACAATATATCGTTTCAGCATTAGACAGTGTTTTACTGACAAAAACGAGACAAAAACTAAATAAAAATGAAGTGATGATGACGACAACTATAATAAAAATATACTGACATTTTTGTTGACTAATAAAAACAAGACAAGAATGTGATTCAGGGATTTGTTTTGAAATTGAGAATTGATCTTGGTGTGTGATTCATGACACACTCACACACACATTTGAAAAGTAACTAGTCCACTGGCAGACGCGAGTGATTATCATTTGGATTGATTGCAGACACTAATTTAATTTGACATATTACCTATGATATAAATAAACAATGCATATGTAATTTTTGGTCTACAATGGAAAAGCTATATTCTATATTTTATGAGACTATTTTATTTAAGTTGAAGTTAGAACTTTTTATATAAATACATATATTCAATATTTAATTAAATTACATTTAAATTAAACCAAATTAATTTTAGTCTACTAAATATAGAGAAAATTAAGTCGACTAAAATTTTATGAAATTCAGTTGACTAAAACTAAATTGATTCAGAAGACTAAAATATGACTAAAATTGAATTTTAGTCAAAAGACTAACACTAAAATTAAATTAAAATATGATGTCAAAATTAACACTGCAAGATGAACATTCACAATAGACACATTGTGACTATACGCAATGTTGAGTCTGGGTTATAATTGAAAATTAGTTTTTTGAGGCCTGACACTGTGTGAGGGTGCCTAGTTACCCTAACCTGCCCAGTTAACCTAATTAACCTAGTTAAGCCTTAAATGTCACTTTAGACTGTATAGAAGTGTCTCTCCGTTAAACAGAAATTGTAAAGTGTTGCGTGTTATTTAAATACTATAGTTTTTATTTCTATTTTGGCTATATTTGTATTATTTCTGCTTTAATAATTTTGGTCCTTTACATGTATTTTAGTTATTTTTTATAAGCTTATCATTTAATTAGATTTTTTTGTATATGCACTCCCCTATAGAATCATTCCAATCAATCTAAAATATAAATTCTTTCCATGCAGTTATTCAACTCATCTATAGTGAAATTGTATTCCTATTGCAAAATATATTGCAGAAGAAAAAATATGTTAGATTATGTTAAAATTTTTTTTCCAATATAGTGCAGCCCTAAAATATATATATATAAATATTTTTTTTTCCATATTAAAATATTACATATGAGTGATATTGGTATTATTGGTACTAATTAAAATATTGTAACAAATATCTTCTTGGATTTAGATCATTTTAATGAATGCATTAAGTAATGTTAACTAATCAATTCTTATTGTAAAGTGTCGCCATATTATTTAAATACTATAGTATTTATTATTATTTTTAAGTGAGATTTTTTTTGGTTAATATACATTATATTGTCAGTTTCGAATATTTTTATTTGTATGATTTCTGCTTTACTAATTTTGGTCCTTTAAACGTATTTTAGTTATATTTTAAGCTTTTTATTTAACATTGTTTTTCAACAACATAACTAAATTATTGGTAATTATTTAGGTAAACAATAGCAATATCCACGTAATAGTTGACACTATGGAAATTTCAAACCTTACTCTGTGCATTTGATAGAAAGAAAATATTTCTATTTAGCTTTACTTCTTTTTCAGTTTTAGTTTTTAAGTATTTCCAACTTTACTTCTCTCTGATGCTCTAAAAAACACATGAAGTAGTTCTCTTTCACCACAAGGCGGCGCTATAACACCAAGCCTGATCAGCATGCCTATGTGCAGTTTTGTTTCCTTACCCATTTTATACAACCTGAGATATGATGTCGATTGCATGGAGCCTGTAGACGGTATACTGTGTGTGATTTACTAAACTGTATGAACCAGAGCAGTTGGGTTTAATCCTCCACTCAAACGACATTAACCATTCCAGTCTGAACATCAACAAACAAACAAACTAAATAAATAAAAAAAGAAAAATTCCAAAACCGAGTTTGTGGAATCAGCTGGTGACTTTGGTCCTTTTTATCGCTATTATTCCGCTCCTTTTTTTCTCCCTTTGGTGAAACAATGCAACCTGAAGTTTGACACCAGTGCTGGGCAGCATTGAGGACCGAGAGAGCTCAGACACTGGAGGAGATCACTCTTCCTCCTCCTCGTCCTCCTCTTCCTCCTCTATGTTGAGGAAGGGGTCGTATTTGAGGCAGTTGTGAAGGTAGTGGAGGATGGTGCGGTGCAGGTGCTGCTGGCTCCGCTCTTCCCTCAGAGTGTGGCCTTCGTCTGGGTAGAGCTGAAGGGTGTAGTTGGCCTCTACCTTCACCAGACGACTCAACAGCTCAGCGCTGTGTTGGAAATGCACTCGCGCTAAACACACAAAAGAAAAGGGACATGGCTGGGAATCCACAAATGATGTATCTAGAGGATTCAGCATCGTGTAATTGCGAACACTAACCATCTGCGGTCCCGTGTATGAGGAGGAAGTTTTCGTCTTTGAGCTTGTGGATGTCGTCCAACAAAGATGCAGTCTGCAAAAAAAACACAAAAAAAAAAAAACACACAGAACTGTTCAGCTAGTGCTTTGGCAGAGACATGGCTTGTAGAGTTTTTACACCAGTACTGTTGCTATTTTGTTTCTCATTTTCTTTGCACACATGGAACAAATTATTTTCTTGGATTTAGATCATTTTAATGAATGCATTAAGTGATTTTTACTAAGCATTTCTTATTGTCAAGTTATTATTTAAATACTATAGTATTAATTACTATTTTTAAATAGGAGTTTATTTGGTTATTATACATTATATTGTCAGTTTTAAAAATTTATATCTGTATTATTTCTGCTTTACTAATTTTGGTCCATTAAACGTAGATGTTTTTCAACAATATACAAAATTATTGGTGATTAATTAGGTAAACAATAGCAATATCCATGTAATAGTTGACAATATCCATGAAATAGTTAATTTGTGCACATTTTTGAGTCTTTATTTTTTTTATTTTTGAGTATTTATTTTATGTCAATGCATGCTAATAAATATTTAGCCGGTTTCTATATGAATTTCAGTAATATTATTCAATAATATGGAACTGATTCTATGATTTATGTAAAATACAGTTTGAATATTTTCTGTCTTTTAGATACAGTGCTCAGCATAAGTACACCCCTCATAAATCTATCTTTCAAAGCCATATTTTTAATAAGAACCTTTACAATATTATATTTGTGCATATACATTAGATTAGTCAGTACTGAAGCCAAATCTGGAGCTAATCCAACAAAATAACTTATGATAATGGTCGAAAAACTATTACAGCCAAAAAAAAAAAGGAAAAAAATCAAGAGAAGAAAAAAAGGGAAAATTTTTATTTAATTTTGTAGGATGTATTTTTCTTTTTCAATATTTTACTTGAATATATTGGTATTATCTTTCAATTTCTAAATATGTTCGGTGACTTAAATATTATTTTAAGTTTGACTTAAGTTTGGGAGGGATTTTAATTGAATGCAGTGCTTCTTGTCCGATCTGAGACCCAATTTATGTCATATATCCAAAAGGCAGTGAAGATCGCTGATTTAATAAAAAAAATCTGATCCCAAACGTGACAATTTTGTAAAGGAAAGACCGGAATCCTTGGGCTGCCTGGCTGAAAATGAGAAGTCATATAGCCTAATTTTCGCTTCTTTCTTATAGTTCTGTCACAATGTAACTTTTTCATAATGTGTTTTAAATTTCGGGCGTCCTGGTGGCACAATGGGTAGCACAATTGCCTCACAGCAAGAAGATCACTGGTTTGAGCCCTGGCTGGGTCAGTTGGCGTTTCTGTGTGGAGTTTGCATGTGGGTTTCCTCCGGGTGCTCTGGTTTCCCCCACAGTCCAAAGATGTATAGATAAATTGGGTAGGCTAAATTGTCTCTAGTGTATGTGTGTGAATGGGTGTGTGTGGGTGTTTCCCAGTGATGGGTTGCAGCTGGAAGGGCATCCACTGCGTAAAATATATGCTGGATAAGTTGGTGGTTTCATTCTTCTGTGGCGACCCTAGACTAATAAAGGAACTAAGCCGAAAAGAAAATGAATGAATTTTAAATGTCAGAATTGAGTTTTTTTCTTCTTCTAACTATAAATTTGTCACATGTTAACTATAACCTACAAAGTCATATTTTATGCCACTGTGTAACTATATCACAAGTGTTATGTTTGTTTATTATGACCATAACTGTTGTAATATAACAATTTATTACAATGTTGAGTTGGTCTCTTGTTTGGACAATCTGGCAACGCTTACAATTCTCACAGATGTTTGTTGTGTTCATATCCTTTTCATTTTTGCTCATAAGCTGCATAACCGGGTTAGTCAATTCAATAGTGCTCCTGCATAAATTAATGTGTGACGCAATCAATAAGAATGTCCAACAAAATGTAAATTCATTTGAATAAAATGATTTTTGCTGTTTGTTCAAACTACTAAATTAAACTTAGTTCAATCCACTTCAGCAAACTGATAATTTACCTTAATTCCTTCATGTTGCCTCAATACAAATCAATTGCGTGGAACCCAGCACTTTTTACAGTGTGTTAATATGAGGTGGAAATAGCAATGCACCTAACCACTCGTGATTGGATCTCTGAAAACGCATTTGGTGGAAACAGAGCCTCTGTGACTGTACTTTACATACCAATTGCCATTTCTTAACTTTGACGTGGACATAGGCAACATAATGATTAACAACGACTTTAAAAAGTTGACTACAAAAGGCATACCATGTATGAATGCTCCTCTTTAGCTGGAAGGCCTAGAAATCGCTCAGAAAAGGCTGCACCTGAAAAACAAAGTTGAATCCATTTTCGCACATTAATAAATAAAGAGGCAACACTGCACTGCATATTATACCATTTATCACACAGACACTTTAAAAAGTCATGTAAAAGTAATACAAGAATACTTTGATATTTACCATGGGACTGAATAATAGCCATTACACACACCATGATGTTTTTAAGTACTTAAAGGCACTTTAAAGAAGACACTTCATAGCATGTCCAAAGTAGTGTTCAACCAGAGTGTATGAGGTTGGAACTCACTATAGAGCTTGAAGTCTGTGATGGGAGCCATAACAGCAGCGCATCTGAACATCTGATCGGTTCCCGTCAGCATCTTCAAACCTAAATAGCCACCGAATCCCTGTGAGGAGGGCAAATAAAGGCTGATGTCAGAGCTCTGCAACTGAAGACTAATTTCACAGTACATATCCTATGTGAAACTATGATGCAAGTCTAAAAAGGCATTCGTTTGGTAAAAAGATGTGTATTGAAGCAACAGGCCACAAGAGGCACATTAGCATTAGATCTTCTGGACTGCTTTTAAGTGATGCAATGCAGAAAACCCTTCAACCAGAGTCAAATCAATGCCTGGGGGGTTATTAATCCTAATCACGTTCCTAATAGTAATCTCAATTATGTAGCTCTTCATAAAGATTTATAATAATAACTGATAAACCTTTAAATATTGATAGATTGTATGACTTGTTTCATATGCAAATAAGTATCTGCATCTGAAAAGGTGTGACCCAAAATAGCCTACAGGAACACAAGAGTTCTGACCCAATCAAACCAGTTGGGTAATCTCAGTGGGGATCATATCCTTTGTTAAAACGTAGTGTCACACAGACACTACTTGAAGACTGCTGGGTTAACATCAATGCTGAAAAGCTGTACTATTCACTGTCTTCAGTAAAGTCTTCTCCCCGTAAGAACTTTGGTCAGCTTACTTATTCTATGTATTTGCCATGCCTGGGCTCTCTCAGAAAGGCAAAGGATCGCAGGAGTTCACATAGGGCTCTATTTTGACGGTCCATGCGCAGAGCGCAAAACGTAGGGCGCAAACGCTTTCAGGGCGTGTCAGAACGCATTTTTGCTAATTTATGGACAGGAAAATGCGCTTTGCGCCAAGGCGCATGGGCTAAAAGGGTTGAGTTTATTTTCTTAATGAGTTATAGGAGTGTTTTGAGAATAAACCAATTAGAGTCTCATCTCCCATTCCCTTTAAGACCCAGCTGCGTCGCGCCAAGAGCGCATTCGCTATTTACAGGACACAAAGTAAGTCTAAGTGGAAAAAATGAGCATTTCACAAGCAAACAGTTCACAGTTTTTAACAGAAACCTGTTAAACAGAGCATCTACTGCGTGAGAATGAGAGATAATGGATCACTTTCACATTCGCTCTTGGATAGGGAAACCTTTACGCACAGACATCAGTTAGCCTATAAATAATTAAATTAGTTTGTTAAGCGCAACGATTTGTTTCAAAACTATTTCTAAATTCAGTTCTAATTTCTAGCAAACGAATAAATGAACAATAATGACCAAGTGTGGTCAAAATACTGAGTTATTTCCAAATACACCTGCCATGACCCATATGGTCTTACACCTGACAGGTGGACAAATTTAAGCTTGTTTTTAATAAAACAAATATAAATATGGATATATTAAATAACACTGCTAATAATAATAACATTATACAAAAGCAAATTGTTATGAATGAACTGAAAAAGCCTCCCGAGATGAAGAAGACATAAAAGAATAAATTTTTCATATTTATGTAGGCTAGAAAATAATATGTTTTGTAATATTTTAATCCTTTATATTTATGTCCTATATCTATTCTTATTATATCCTATATATATCCTTAATATTTACATTTATTTATATGTAAAGATATTTGCCTATTGCTCTCTTGTGTGTATTAAGCAGTGCGTGAGCGAGGCGCAACTTTGCGCCGGAGTTTAGACCGGGTTAGTTTTGGTCTAATGAAAAATCTATTATAGTTTCTCAAAATAGCACCGCCCAGCGGTCCGCCTCAGAACGCCTTCCTTTTTAGACCAGAACGCCTATGGGCGCACAAATGAGCGCTAATACATTTGCTATTTAAACAGCGTAGCGCAACGCCTCAAAACGACTCTTACGCCAAGCTGAATCTACCAAAAGACTATTGCACCGCGTCTTTCGCCACACTGCGCCGGGTGTATGATAGGGCCCGTAGACTTATTTACAAACACTCACAAGAAGGACATAGGAAACACAGGAGAATCAGGAATGACATGGGGTGTAGACAGAACGTAACTTAGAATACCAGACAAGTATCATACCATTTTAGTATTCTAAACTGAACATGAGGACTTAAATACAAGGGATATGATAGGATTGACTACATACAGGGGAGGAACACAGGTGAGTACCATGGAACATTACCAAACGGTGGGACCTAGAGCAAAGGGGTCACGTAATACAAATAAACACACATGGAGCATGGAAACATGGGGGAAGATCACATGACACAGGAGTCTGACAGTTTTAGAGTCATCTAATATATTGGTGAGCCACCAGAGAACGGTTAAGCCAAACACAGTGAAATCTAACAATATAGACCCATGAATTTATCAGTGTTAAAACTACCCAAAGTGATCTATAAAATAATTCTATATAATTGTGAAGTTTGCATGTTCTCCCTGCGTTCGCGTGGGTTTCCTCCGGGTGCTCCCGTTTCCCCCACAGTCCAAAGACATGCGGTACAGGTGAATTGGGTAGGCTAAATTGTCCCTAGTGTATGAGTGTGAGTGAGTGTGTATGAATGTTTCCCAGAGATGGGTTGCGGCTAGAAGGGCATACCGTTGTAAAACGGGCTGGATAAGTTTGCTGTAAATTTCGCTTTGGCGACCCCGGATTAATAAAGTGACTAAGTCGAAAAGAAAATGAATATATGAATGAATATTAAGCTGCACCCACTCCACATGAACCTAAAATACCACAAATAGGTGCGTTCGACTTCATGCAGCGCTGCCCTGATCGATTGAAATCTGTCTTAAAGAGGTGCATACTGGTTAGAAAATTTTGTCCGGACTGATGTTGCGCTGACGCCATGTGACTGTCACATGTGGCATTAAAGTACCGCAACAAGGCTCCGAGATCAGATGACTGATTCAGACTGTGCAGCATCTGAAGAGTGACTGCACGAGCTCTGATGACGACACCGATATTACACGATTGGCCGAGTTCACCACATGACAACAACCACATGTGTTTCATTCTGATTTACAAATGTCAAAACAAACAATTCACTTTTCATACTCTCTCTATCTTGTACACATCATGCTTATTAAAAGACCACAACTATTTTACTGCAGTAATCATGTTTTGCTAAATAATTTGGTTATAAAGGCTGGCTTGATTGCACAGGGTTATTTTTAACCTTTTTTATAAAGACTATTAACTGCATTCAGCTCCATAAACGCTTTAAATGATATATCTTAGTAAATAACCTAAATAACTCAAATAAGTCTGTGAGACTTGTAATAAAACAATATTATCATCATTGATCCTGCCACACTAAAGATTTCTTGACAAATTAAGTTCATTTCATTTCATTAAATATTTATAAAATAATTATAATACACTTATTTTAGGAATGTCCTTTTGTTCAATCTTTTTGGATTAAAGTGCTTTTTTGAAAATGTTTTCATTATCCAAAAAAATCTAAATTATTGTTTCAGACTTAATCAAAACACCTTGTTTTGGGTTTTACATTAATATTTATTGGAAAGTTTTATATCTATAAATATAAATAAATGTATACCCCTTTTTAGCATATTCAAACAAAAAGTATTAACTTAGAGTGATGTTTAAACTACTAGAATTTGTGCTTATTGCTTTGTATTTAGTAGGCTTATTCATTTTTATGTTTATATTACCCTCTCATTTCCCCTTATTTCTCTTATGCATTTGTTATATATTTAATTAATAATTCCCTTATTTTAAAAAAATGAACTGCAGTTTGTAGAGACTTTTTTCTGTTTTATTAGTATTTTTTGTTGTTGTTGTATTAATAAAAACAAAAATGATAATGACCCCATTTGATCAGTCATCATGACTGCAGAAACTTTGAGCCCCGAAGTGTCCAAGCTGTCCGGCTTGACAGTCCGTTTTCACCCCGCCTGCACTCGGCTAATCTAGTTGATCACCGACTGCAGCTGTGCTTCATGTTGAACACACCTAATATAATCAAGTCAGTCTTACTACACTCAAAAAATACTTGTACGTTTAGGTGCTGTGAACACTAGTCCATTTTGTTTATGGACTAGGAACGTTCTCATTGTGCATCATCAAAACTGTAATTTAAAAACCACAGCAGAACTAATAGTCATATACTTATTTTACTGAGATTTTAAAAGTACATTATAGCTAAATAATTTAATAGTTTCATATACCAGCAACATTTCAACCAACAAACAATTATAAATGTTTGCTACATTTTTCCTAACCAATCTAGTTATGTTCGCTCAAGGTAAAAATAAGTAAATAACAGATTGTTTTTAGAAAGCTCTCTCTCATTATTCTGCTCTCTCTCTGATTATTTGGGTCATGTGATTCATACTGAACTTCCATTAAAGGTCCTGCGAAGTGCTTTGAAATGTGCATTTTTATTTAATGTTTGGCATAATCTCAACTGAAACATGAAGAGAGGGTGGGACATTGAGTAGCTCCTCCCTTTTTTTATTTAAAAAACAGCCAATAGCGTTTCGTTTTATCACAGCTCTGCCAGTGAGAGTGACCTGAATAAAAAACGTTGATCTATTCAGACGGAAGTCAAACTGCAAGCTTTGTATTTTTATATCAGTTTTCTATCTTCTAAACATGAATTTTGTCCCTGTTTTGTAGCACACTAGCTAATAGATATCCTTAAATCGATCATACTGATGCTAACATCTAAAAAAACATTTTATTTTCACTGGGCCGTTAAGGGTGCATTGAGCTTATAGATGCACCCAGATTTTTTGGAACTTCTCAGGGCACAAATTTTTCAGTGTACTAGAAGAAGATTGCGACTGAGACAGCACTTAAAGTGGTTGACACCCTAATAAGTGCACTGACTACTAAACAAGGGTGCTGATTAAGGCACCGTTTACACTAATACGTTTTAGGTTTAAGACGCATAAGTTTTGCTGCGGTTATGCCATCCGTGCACACTATGCCAGAGTTTTCGAGTGCCAAAAACGGAGCGTTTTGAAAACGCTGGGGAGGCCGTTTTCATTCTAAAACACTGCTGCTCCATGTTAGTGTAGATGGAGGAAAACGGAGACATCTGAAAACGACATGTGATTGGGGCTTTTTCCTCAGTATTAAGTAGCCTACACACAGTTCAGTCCTACATCTTCTTCTTGTAAGTTCTGACTTTGCAAGTTTGATATGAAAAAAGACTCCTGAGGACAGGGGTAAATCTTCAAAAAGAACAGTGTACTTTATAACCTTATTTACATCATCCTGGCTACATTGTTTCACTTTCTTAACATGTGAAACAAATGAAAACATGATTTAAGGAACTGCCTATTTTCATTTTAATATTATCAACTTAACAGAGAGCCGTAATGTTGAGGCGTCGTGTAGCTTCATAGTTATATGACCGTCATCTTCACTATATGTGTATTTATAACAAAACTATAACCTATAACATAACTGAAACCTTTAATTCTCATTTAATACAAAACATATCCTCTCGTTTGTGTGCTGTTGGGGATTTTTTCATCCACTCTGCGATCATTTTGAGTCTTAATTTGGACAGAACGTTCTCTGTTTTAGCAAATAGAATGACTTTTGTTGGAAAATCTTATTTTGACACATATTTTGGAAAAATCCATATGAATAATGCATAATAAATATTAAAAAAAAAACCTCAACAATACACTCTGGGCAAATTGACTACCCTTTCATTATGTTAGTGGCTGTTTTTGCCCTATTGGCTTCCATTATAATGACATTTTTGCATTGCAAAGCCATGACACCATATAATTATGCATTCTAGAGTGTTGCTGGTTTTCCCTGTTGGGAATATGTAAAAAAAGTCATAATAACTGTGGAAATGGAAGTCAATGGGGTAAAAACAGCCACAAACATAACAAATCTGAACAATTCACAAGGGTTAAAAAGCTGCTGTACACAATCAAATCACATTCCAGAGCTTCAACTTTTGATTTTCACATTGTGTATTTTACCTTTCCATACACTGCAATTCTTTTGGCGTCGATGTACGGCAGCTTCATTAACCACCTGCAACAAAACATGCAAATTTCACGGTGACATTTAGCAGTTATGATAAATGACTGCTGTTTTATAAGCAGCCAATGCATTAACTCTGCAGAGACATAAACATTGCCTTTTTTTTTGCCTTGAGCAAGAAGTAGGTTAAATTAAATTAGCCAAGCAAGCGTTCAACAAAATACCAAAGAACTCTTAGTACCTGCTTTAGAGCATAAAGCATTTCCTAATCAAATATTTTTCACAGCGTAATACACAAAATGACTTTTCTATTACATGTATTCTTCTTAATAACTGAAAACAGAGAATGACTCACTCCACGACTCCGAGCTTGTCTTTAATGCGGAGTGAACCCAGCTTGCGAGGGTCTAGCGTGCTGCTTTTTTGTGTCTGTGAGATTCTGCTTCTGCTATCGATCCAAGCAAGAGCCACTCCATGCATACTGGACAAAACCTCCGGCCAGCCCAGGGCAAACTCCTCCGTTACTGACGGCCTGCCTGGAATACTGTCACTACAGGTGCGGAGAAGAAAAAAAGATGGATAACTGGTGTCAACACGATACTGGAAAAATCTAACATTGCAATATTTTGTTATTCTGTAGTATACAACCACAAATCAGAAAAAGGTGGGACAGTATGGAAACCACAAATAAAAAAAGAAAGTAGTGATTTCTAAATTGACTTTGACTTGTATTTCATTGCAGACAATGCAACAAACATAATTTAATGTGTTCCTCATGATTTTTCAAAATAAGCACCTATTCCAATTTTGGTTTTGCAACACATTTTAATAAAAGTTGGAACAGTAAAGCATTTATCACTTTTAATCACTTTTTTTCACAACATTTAAAAGACATTTAGGGACTGAAAACACCAAGTGATGAAGTGTTTCAGGTGTAATTTTGTCCCATTCTTTCTGCAAACAAGTCTTAAGGTGGGCAACAGTATGGGGTCTTCGTTGTCGCATTTTACACTTCAAAAATGCACCGCACATTCTCTATTGGAGACAGGTCGGGACTGCAGGCAGGCCAGTCAATTAACTTTAACCTTCGCAGCCAGGACTTTGTAATGTGTGCAGTATGTGGTTTTGCATTGTCTTGTTGAAATATGTTGACATCACCTGTTTCAAATCACATCATTATTTAACCAATTTACTAAATTGCTAGCCCTAAATTGCCCTAAATTTAAATTGTATCATTTTCTGAGTTTAACAGCTATAGTAATTGAATAAAAAAGATGAAAATAATAAAAAAAATGTATGAAGTGTTTCAGGTGTAATTTTATTCCATTCTTCCTGCAAACAAGTCTTAAGGTGGACAACAGTATAGGGTCTTTGTTGTCGCATTTTGCGCTTTAAAATGCACCATACATTCTCTATTGGAGACAGGTCGGGACTGCAGGCAGGCCAGTCAAGTACAGTATGTATCCTCTTCTTCTGCAGCCAGGACTTTGAATGTGGTTTTGCATTGTCTTGTTGAAATACGTTGAAATCACCGGTTTTGAATCACAGCATTTAACCAATTTACCTGATTACTAGCCCTAAATTGAAATTATTTTTCAGTCTAACAGTTCTAAGAGGTATAGTAATTGAATAATAAAGATTAAAATAATTCAAAATCCTTATTAAAGTTACAAACGGTATTTTTTTTATGCATGAATAATTTTTTTATTCTCTTACAGTCACAGACCTCAAAAACACAGGCAAATGATAAATTATAATACAAACAATATCATATATTATATTGTGATACATTGCGATATCAATGCTGAAACGATATATTGTGCAGCCCTATGGCAGATCATTTCATGCTGTGGATTAAAAAGACATTAAGCACAGGGATCTTCATTCTGTAAATGTGTTCACACTTGCTAGATGCTTCTTGAATCTCAATCGAGCGTGTGCATACCGCTTATTAATAAGGCAGCATTCATAAATCATGGAGCCTAACCAACTGCGGCGAAGGGAGAGCATTAACTAGATTTGCATTTCCACAAGGAGTTACCAGAGCTTGCAAAGGAAGTTTTAAGTAATCTTGAAGTTTTAGGATTAGGTTTGGTGTATTGGAAATCATGGCTGCTTTATCACTGTCAAGACGCTCAGCACGAGTTTTGTTTCTGAATGCAACACCGGCTTATTACTTAGTAAGCAGCATAAGGTTTAAGCTGTAGCATGCTTTACTCTTGTCACATGACCTTCTAACACTGCATAAATGCAGCGGTTTTGCAGTCTTGCTCTCATTTTGTATAGAGTTTTAAAAGTGAATCTAATAATGAGTTAAACAGATGTTTAAAAGTAGTAATTAGTATTAATCCTGGTTCATTCGTCACAAGTGTAAGGTCAATCTGAGTGCATTGGTTTATGGGATGCATAATTTAACTTGAATAAATTCAGAAAGACAAGAACAATCATGTTTCATTATTAAGTGCAGCTAAATTAATTTCAGATGTTCTTGATTGTGAAATGAAGCATGCCTTCAGAGTAATAACATCTTTCAAACATTCTGATTCATGTTTGAGAGCTGTTGTTGCTAAGGATATATGCTTAATTTCACCATGAAGAAAACAAGATTAAAGAAAAATAGAATAAAAACAACATTATGGGGACTAAAAAAATTGCTAATTTAAAAATGTTTCATAAATGTTTTTCCAAAATCTGTTTTACTGTATACTACCTGACAAAAGTCTTGTTGTCGACCCCAGTTGTAAAAGCAAAAAATAATAACTCTCTAAATAAATAATCATCTGTTGAACTGCATCCCAATCATCACAAATACAGCAGAAGACCTATTGGAACCCACATGAACCCAAGATTCTCAAAGAAATCAGTCAAGTTTGGTGAAGGAAAAATCATGGTTTGGGGAAAAATCATGTTACATTCAGTATGGGGGTGTGCAAGAGATCTGCAGAGTGGATGGCAACATCAACAGCCTGAGGTATCAAGACATTTGTGCTGCCCATTACATTACAAACCACAGAAGAGGGCAAATTCTTTAGCAGGATAGCGCTCCTTCTTATACGTCAACCTCCACATCAAAGTACCTAAAAGCAAAGAAGGTCAAGGTGCTCCCAGATTGGCCAGCCCAGTCACCACACATAAACATTATTGTGCATCTCTGTGGTAAGATGGAGGAGGAGGCATTGAAGACGAATTCAAAGAATCTTGGTGAACTCTGGGAGTCCTGCAAGAGCGCTTTCTTTGCCATTCTTGATGACTTTATTAATTAGTAATTTTGAGTCATTGCAGAAATGTATGGATGCAGTCCTCCAAGCTCATGGGAGTCATACACAATATTCATTCTTTTTTCTCTGCAGCATGACTTTATATTCTATACTGTACATTATTTCTGTTAAAGTGAAAATAAATTTGTCTAAGGCAGGTGTGACCAACTGAAGATCTACCTTCCTGCAGATTTCAGTTGCAACCCAAATCAAACACACCTGGCTGTGATTATCAAGTGCTGTTCGGGTCCTAATTAATTGGTTCAGGTGTGTTTGATCATCACCATTGGTTGATGGTGATGTTTGAGTTGGAGCTGAACTTTGTTGGAAAGTCGATCTCCAGGAGCAAGGTTAAGCACCACTGGTCTAAGGTCTAAGTCAGACCTTACTGTCCTAATTAAATAATTCACAATCAAGGCATGATCATACTTTATTTTGGTAAAATAAGTGTAATCTAGAAGCCTTTGCCTTTCATATAAGACACTTCTGGTGCCAAATGATCAGACAAATGACTAGAAGTCAAGTTATTATTTGTTGTTCCTAAAACTTGGATAGGTGACAAGACAAGTAGTGTATATATATCACAACGAGTACGATTTGTTCATATAAATTAAAACTTATTTGGGAAGCGGCCATTAAGTTGATTTCAAAAGACTAAATATCCACTATACACAGTAACAAATGCAGGGTTCCACACAATTCATTCATACTGTCCCAACACAAATTAAGTTAACTTAACAAATTTAAGTGGATTTAACTTAAAACAATTAAGTTGCCCCCCCCCAAAAAAAATCTTGATAATTGTTTCATTTCAGTTAATTAAAAAAAAAAACTTTGAAGAAACGAACATTTTTGAGTGTGTTTTTATTAATTAATTAATTAATTAAATATGCACCATCCACTTTTTAATTAAACATGAATTAAAATAAATTTAGATGGATGGATGGATGGATTGATTGATTGATTCATTAATTGATTGATTTCCTGGGGCTCTAAGCAGCCTCTTACCTTGCTTATTGGTCAAATCCGCCCCTGACTATATGTCTATATAATATACAAAATATAATATTGAGATATAAAAGCATTCATTAAATAACTAAATGATTATTGATGTTGAATTGATATATTGTGCAGCTCCAATAGACATCATATTCCAGAAATTCCATGACCCATGAGAACCCTGTATAAATAATATATATATATATATATATATATATAAACTAAAAAAATCATCAAATGCATCCTTGGTGACCCTTTTAAACATTACCGCACCTCTACTTTTTATTTCGATCCTATGCGACATAATGTGAAGTGAATGGAGACACTCACATGATAATGAGGAGAGGATGCAGGTTTCCTTCATATCCAGGGGGCAGGGACATCTTCACATCTAGGTCTGTAATTATTCGCACAGGCAGTTAGAACAGAACAAACGGGCATTTCTACAGCAAGAAAGCTCATCAATATTCTAACCGCTGGCAAATGAGCTCCCTTGAGCCTGTTGGTTTTTTAAAGGCACTCAGCAACACACACGCACACACACGTGCACAAACAAGCATAGTGAAGGGATCTGATGTACAATGTATCTGCAATTTATAAATGCAAATGAGTGCATGCAAAACATACCTTTACCAATCCAATTAGCAAAACCGAAACAATTACCTGATTGATTCCTAAATCTAGTTGGCTTGGTAAAGTTGAGATCAATTTATGCTGAAAGCAGGAATGTAATCAGTTACTTAAGAAATCTTTTACCGCTGTTGTCGGAGGAAAGTGTGTGGTAAAGGGTCTCAGGGAGCTGCTTGGTTTCGAGAGACATGGCGAGGACGCTGTTGTCTTCCACCACAGTGTATCCTGCAAATGCAGCACAAAAATTTAATACATTTTCTGACATAAAAGCAGATGGGTTCACCACCTTAGAGGATTTCAACAGAAGCAGACAATAACAATAAAAAAATCAAGAAGCCACCATTCAACACTTTTAAATACTAATACAAACTCTACAATAACTCACTAGGGTGCTTTTAAAGTAAACCTATGCATTTTTGATAATTATACAGTTGAAAAATAAAATGATTAGCACTCATGTGAATTTTCTTTTTTCAAATATTTCCGAAATGATGTTAAACAGAGCAAGAAATTTTCACTGTATTTCCTATAACATTTTTTCTTCTGGAGAAAGTCTTATTTGTTTTATTTCAGCTAGAATAAAAGCAGTTTTACATTTTTTAAAAACCATTTTAAGGTCAAAATTATTAGCTATATTTTTTATTTTTCTAATTATCCTAACTTGCCTAATTAACCTAGTTATCTATTCTGTTATCTAGTTAACTATTATGTTTAGAAATGTGTGAAACAGAACTTGGTGAAATATGCAATATACTGTATATTGCAACATTTTTATTGACAATGTTTGCTATTTTGATATATTTTTAAATGTTTTTTTCCAGTGATCTCAGAGCTGATTTACATTGAATCTACTGTGATGTTTTGAATGACAAAAAAGGAAACTGAAACTGATCATATTAGAGTGATTTCTAAAATGATCATGTAAAACTAAAACCTCTAACGCTGAAAAATCAGCTCTGAGATCAATTGTCTGTCTTATATTTTTAAATGTTGCAGTTTTCAGTGATTTAATTTATTTACCCAGTAAATTTCCCTTTTTTTTTCGACTTTATTTGAATTTTTTAAAATTAAGGTTTTCTCTGAGTGCTCCGGTTTCAATCATTCATTCATTTTCTTTTTTAGTTTACTTTAAACTGCATTTCAATGTGTAAAAACTGAAAACAAAATAAAATAAAAACATTGTCGGGAAAAAAAGGGAAAAATTACTGAGTAAATAAATTAAAACACTGAAAACTGCAACATTTAAAAACATAAGCACAAAAAAACAGACAAATTGCATTGTTCATTTATTCATCCATTAATTTTCTTTTCAACTTAGTCCCTTTGTTAATCAGGGGTCTACACAGCAGAATGAACCGCCAACTTATCCAGCATATGTTTTACGCAGAGCATGCCCTGCCAGCTGCAACCAATCAATGGGAAACACCCATACACACTCATTAACACACATACACTACAGCCAATTTAGCTTACCCAATTCACCTATACCACACGTCTTTGGACTTGTGCGGGAAATCAGAGCACCTGAAGGAAACGCACGCGAACACGGAGAGAAAAGCAAACTCCACACAGAAATGACGACTGACCCAGTCGAGGCGCCAAGCAGCAACCTTTTTGCTGTGAGGCGATCGTACAACCCACTGCACCACCGTGTCACCATAATTTGCATTATAATAATAATTGCAATGCAATAAAAAAGTCTCATATTAAATGCCATTTACACTGCTATATACATTTTTTTTTTTGCTTTATACAGGTGGGGCCTTTAGTAATGCGCTTCTCAGGGAACAGAATGCCATGATTAACGCGGTTAGCCGCAAAACTCAGGGAAATTCTCTGACTCAGGAAATACAAGTAGGGGGCAGTCGAGCTTCATTTTCAGTAATGGCCAATTCTAAAGGCGGAGCACTCGAAGCCCACAAGTGACTGTTTCTCAATGGAAGGTGGAGGTGTTTTCTTCATGTTTTGTTTATATTTGCTAAGATCTAATACAATGCTGCGCCTGGGATAGTTGTGTTTATTGTTTTCTGATAAGAGATATAGGGCCCTATCATACACCCGGCGCAGTGTGGCGAAAGACGCGGCGCAATAGTCTTTTGGTAGATTCAGCTTGGCGTAAGAGTCGTTTTGAGGCGTTGCGCTACGCTGTTTAAATAGCAAATGTATTAGCGCTCATTTGTGCGCCCATAGGCGTTCTGGTCTAAAAAGGAAGGCGTTCTAAGGCGGACCGCTGGTGAAACTATAATAGATTTTTCATTAGACCAAAACTAACCCGGTCTAAACTCCGGCGCAGAGTTGCGCCTCGCTTACACACTGCTTAATACACACAAGAGAGCAATAGGCAAATATCTTTACATATGAAAAAAATTTAATATTAAGGATATATATAGGATATAATAAGAATAGATATAGGATATAAATATAAAGAATTAAAATATTACAAAACATATTATTTTCGAGCCTACATAAATATGAAAAATCACTGCTTTCATGTCTTCTTCATCTCGGGAGGCTTTTTCAGTTCATTCATAACAATTTGCTTTTGTATAATGTTATTATTATTAGCAGTATTATTTATTATATCCATATTTATATTTGTTTTATTAAAAACAAGCTTAGATTTGCCCACCTTTCAGGTTTTAGACCATATGGGGCATGGCAGGTGTATTTGGAAATAACTCAGTATTTTGACCACACTTGGTCATTATTGTTCATTTATTCCTTTGCTAGAAATTAGAACTGAATTTAGAAATAGTTTTGAAACAACTCTTTGCACTTATTAAACTAAATTAATTATTTATAGGCTAATTAATGTCTGTGCGTAAAGGTTTCCCTATCCAACTGTTTGCTTGTGAAATGCTCATTTTTTCCACTTAGACTTACTTTGCGTCCTGTAAATAGCGAATGCACTCTTGGCGCGATGCAGCTGGGTCTTAAAGGTGATGGAAGATGAGACTCTAATTGGTTTATTCTCAAAACACACCCATAACTCATTAAGAAAATAAACTCAACAAAAGCGCATTTTCCCGTCCGTAAATTAGCAAAAATGCGTTCTGACACGCCCTGAAAGGTTTGCGCTCTGCGTTTTGCGCTCTGCGCATGGACCGTCAAAATAGAGCCCATAGTTTCGTTTTAGACACAGTATTGCCGACTTGCCACAGTTATGGCTCTAGTATTTCATTTTTGACTGTAGCCCTACATCCCAAACTTTTCACAGAGCTCAGCTAAATGTTCTTTAATTTGGCTCGTTATCATAAACTGTTAAAGCCAAAAGGAATGGTAAAATAAAGGTTGTATTTTTGTATAATTTAATATAGTTTAAATGAATAAATAAAATATAACTTAACAGCCTACATAGGTTGAATAAATATAAAATATTTTTAAATTGAATAAATAGGCTATTTAATGAAAAATGGCCATGTTTATTCCATCAAATTAAACACAAATAAGACAAATAAGTATTTCCTGTAAAAGTATTTCAGTAGGGTGTATTTACAGGAAACACATGCTTTTTTTGACAGGCTGCTTTAGCAATTAAAATCTTTCTTTCTCAAGGCTACACATGGCTGCCTACATAACAGCTTGTAATGAGAAAATATTGATTCCACTCACTGAAAGGGTCACTCGTGCTGTGAATGGTCACCTTTGGGACACCAGGGCCTGCAAAATATGACATGGATGAAAAATATGCCATCTGCACGCAGCAGCCGAAGTGTGTGTGTTCTCATCAGTGGAGGAGAGACTGAATGATTTTACCCAAGCAATAGAGAGTGAAGTATGTCTGATTGGGGCTGAAGTCTGCTCTGAAGAAGCTGCAGCGCTCAAACAGGTTACACGTCAGACACTGCCGATGAAATACTCCCCCAAGCTCCACGCTATAGTCAACAAGAATGCATTTCATTATTTTATACACTATTATCAATTTTAATGCCCAATCAATATCATGAAAACCTTAAAAATCACACTCTTTACTCAAGTGCTGAAATGGTTGGAAAGATATTTACTTTTCACTACATTTAAGACGTGCATGTATTTTTGCTACTTTTTTGGCATGTGATGGTACTGGTGCACATCTTAGAACAAAACAATGGCAATGTGTTTTCAGAAGTTATTTTCAGCTAAAACAGCTCAAAATTGCAATATAGTCTGAATATAGTATTAAGTGCTATTTAAAATGGCAATTTAAGTCCTTTATTTAGTTTTCCAATGATAGGTTTAGACGCAAACAAACATTAGATGACTAAAGAAAGTGAAACTGGAATTGCTGAGGACTTTTGATGTGTCTTATGCACATCAAGATTACATTTTTGTGGCTGAAAAACTTAGTAAAACAGTAATACTGTCAAACAGTATTACAATCTGAATTAAAAAATATTTATTTTAATCAATTTTAACATTGAAACATATTTTTAACATATTTTAACATGATTATTATTAACAATAATAATAATATTAAAAACTAATGCCGGTTGCTGTTTTTGTGGAATCCATGACACTTTTTCAGAATTCTCTGGAGATCATAAAATTCTAAAATTCAAAACAAAACAAAATTTTTTCTGTGTGCTGCATGGGCAAATCTTAATCATGATTAATCACATTCAAAATACGTTTTTAAGATGTTAAAAATAAGTTTTAACATAATATATAAGTCTACACTGTAAAACCCAACTGTTGTACTGAAAGTTAATTCTTCTCATTTGAAAAGAGTTTTGAACTCAGTGTTGAAGGTAATCAGTTAATTAAATACCTCATTACTTCAACTTAAATGGAGTGAGTTCACAGTACTCATATAGATTCATTTTTTAACTCAAATGGTTTGTAGCAATCGTTTTCCTCAAACAGTTTGAGTTGCCTTAACTTATTGGGTTTTACAGTACTCAGTTGGTTTGAGTTCTTTTCATTTATCAGGTTTTACTGTGCTCAAATTGCTTCGTTTACTCAAATGGATTAAGTTCACAGTACTCATTAGGAATAGTTTTTGAACTTAAATGGTTTGCTGCTATTGGTTTCCTCAAATGGTTTGAGTTACCTTAACTTTTAGGGGTTTTACAGTGCATGTATTAACATGTATATGTGAAACACAGAAAAATGAAACTATACAAAACATTTTGTTACATAGAGATTTTAATTTATATATAATTTGTATCATATAGACTTATTTTACATATAAATATAAACATTATCTCAAATATATGCATGCATGTGTATATTTATAGACACACTTTAAAAATGCTGAGCTCCACACGATTCCTTCATGTTGTCCCATAGCAATTTGATTAAGTTAACTTAATTGTTTTTACAAACTGAAGTGGATTGAACATAAAACAATTAAGTTCCATCCCACAAACTCAAGAATTGTGTTGATTCAGCTCATTTTAAATAGTAGTTTGAGCGAGCAGCAGAAATTATTTGTTGAGTGTACATAATAAATATACACAGCCATCACACACACATAAAACAAATTATTTTGGATGCGATTAATCTTTTCCCAGCACTAATATTTTTGTAACACACTGTAAAAAGTCATTAGTTGACTTCACTTTAGAGTAATGTGTTTACTTGTTTAAGTGAAGTAAATTAACTATCAAAATAATTATAAAAATTAATTCAACTTAACAGTGAAGTCAACACAGTAACAAGTCACAACAGACACATTATCCCCTAAACACATCTTTGCTATCATTTAAATTGTCATCCTTAATGAAAAAGAATACATTTCTATTAACGAAAAAGGTTTTTGAATGACTTTTGGACCTGAAACGATACACACATGCTGAGGTGCTTTTCCATTATCCGCTTACTTTAAGCCCAACGCTGGACCTCTGCACTTTTGCCATATTGCGGGGATATTCTCAATAAAAAAAATCTATGAGAACTTGTGGCCCACGGAGAGAAAGCGAGAGGCTTAACGCATTAATCAAAGGTTAGAGAACACCCTTTAAATGGTTGTGAGTCGCAGCGCCGTCTCCTTTTCAACCTCCTCTATCTCTCTCTGCCCCTCGCTCTCCTTCTCTCTAAGCTGCCGTTCCTGTTAAATGAATTAGCTGGGCTTCTCGCCTGGAGCTCACTAGAGGGGAAAAAAACTCGATTGGATTTTCACCAATGTCCCCGAAACGCATCTCAAACGGAGACCAGTGGGAATTAATTGATTTCAGTACAAGTCGTTGATGAACATACATCAAAAAGTCAAACGTCAATGCAGATACAGGACATCAACATGTGACGAGAACACAGACATCTCAAAATCCCAAATAATCAAACGTTAAATATCTTGTAGACAGTTAGGGCTGTGCAATATGACAATAATTTCATATGGACAAAAGTCTGTCATTTCATATCACTGAAAAAAATTATTCAAAGATGATTCCTTGGATTTACTCAATTTCTTTACATTAAGAGGTTGTAAACGATTTATTTTGGTTGAATGTAAACAAACAAATTAAGTTGAACATTACTAAACTTAATTTGTTTGTTTAAATTCAACACAAACAAATTGTTTGCAACAGTTCTGCATGCAACACTTTTATCATGCCAAAATACATGGTTTATGGCAGTACTTTTTTTTACTTTAAATTATGAGTGCAATATTACACATCATGAAGATGTAGATAGAAACATCAATAACAGCATCGTGAGAAAGTTGCAATCTTGAAAGTATGTTTACAGTAAATTTGGCATTTTATTTAGCAATATTTTTTATTTGTATATTGGACCCATGTAATTATTGTTTCATATTTTATTTAAATTTGTTTTATATTTCTACATTTTTTACTAAAACATTTGATCTGAAGTTCTAAAATTTGGTTCCACACAATTCATTTATTTTTTCCCAACAAATATTGGTTAACTTAATTATTATTATTATTATTATTTTTACAAATTTAAGTGGATTTAACATAAAACAATTAAGCTGTCCCCCAAAAAAGTCAAGAATTGTGCTGATTCAGCTAGATGATTTGCCCACATGGAACCTAAATGAGGATATATGTGCATATATGAAACTAATATGCAGTATTCATTCATACATTTTCTTTTCAGCTTAGTCCCTTTATTAATCCGGGGTCGCCACAGTGGAAGGAACTGCCAACTTATCCAGCACATGTTTTACGCAGTGGATGCCTTTCCAGCTGCAACCCATCTCTGGGAAATATCCATACACACTCATTCAAACTTATACACTACGGACAATTTTAGAATACCCAATTCACCTGTACCGCATGTCTTTGGACTGTGGGGGTAACCGGAACACCCTGAGGAAACCCACGCGAACGCAGGGAGAACATGCAAACTCCACACAGAAATGCCAACTGACCCAGCCGAAGCTCGAATCCTTCTTGATGTGAGGCAACAGCATTACCTACTGCGCCACTGCGTCACCCTATATACAGTATAAAGGGGCATACAGTATATGATAATATATATGCTGTATATGTGTATATATACCACATATAGGCAAAATGAAGGTGCATATACAGGTGCTAATCCTGTATAGCTTCTTTATATCCACAAATAAGCCCTATCTATATACATACAAGACATGTCTCTCATATCTCACTTTGGCAACTGTCATACATGATGCCTAGCTCATATTTTCCATACCTATATCAAAACCTATATTAAAACATATATGTTTATATAAGTTCTTTCCATGTGGGTGAACAAGCAGCAAAAATATTTTTTTGAGTGTAGGGGCAACTTTCTGGAGCTAGCAATTGTCTAAGTATATACTTTAAAATGTAAAAAAAAAAACTTATGTATAAATATAAATTATATATATTATATTATATAAATTATATAAATTATATATATATATATATATATATATATATATATATATATATATATATATATATATATATATATATATATATATATATATATATAGCTGTAGCCTCCAAAAGAGGCTACAGCTGCAGCCTCACACATTATGGTTCATAACCATAAGAAGGAATAGCACTTCAAATATGCTTAAATGCATAATTTAATAATCGTCATGAACACAAATCAAATTAAGACATGTGGAGTATTCCTATTTCTGTCGCATTATTGAAGTGCACAAACATGTAAACACCGCTTTCAAACTATTACCCCTGTGTAGGACATTTAGCTGCATTTTTCGACAGGATAAGCCATACACACACGGCTGTTAGACACACACACACACACACACAAACACACACACACACACACACACACACACACACACACACACACACACACACACACACTGAACTCCCGGAGACTCGAGACATCTGCCTTTATCATCACAGAACACACGTTTAAGCTGTCTAGGAAAAGCTGAGTTTTTTTTTTCAATTGCGTGCGGTATTAAACTACATTAAAACAACTCTATCCTATCAGTCATATCAGTTTTATTAAGTTAAATACAAATCTATTTTCTATTTATATATGTTAAAAATTTGAAAAAAAAGTATTTTTGAATATTTTTCATTCACACAGGCTATTAGCTACATATTTAGCAGTGTTTGCTCTTTAGAATTCATTAAAATAGAAGTAAAATAACATTTATTACAAGTTGATTTTAAAACAGCACCTAAAAGGTTTTGCAATTTGTGTTTTTTTTCAGTTTTTTCAGAATAAAAGACGATTTCTTAAAAAGAGTGTAAAAATCTCATCTTGTCTCATTCTTGCTAACCCAATCTTATGTCTCATCTCATCTTGTGGAGTAAGTGTCTCAACTCACCCCTAATATATATATATATATATATATATATATATTTTTTTTTTTTTTTTTTTTTTTACAGAACTATATCATGACATACAGTGCTCAGCATATATGAGTACACCCTCCACAAATCTCTCATTTAAATTAATATTTTCTATGGGATGCTTTACAATATTATATTTATGCGTATGCATTAGATAATCAGTACTGAAGCCAAATTTGGAGCTTATCTAACAAAATAACTTACGATAACAATCCTAAAACTAGTCAAGCCAAATTTATATGTTCTAGAAAAATATTAAATAAAAACTTTAAAAAGAGCAAAATTCAAGATGTATCAAATTTAGTTGAAATTTTGTAGGTTGTATGAATTTAAATGTATAATCTCTTTATTTATAAAGATTTTTAATGACTAAAATATTATTTTAATAAATGTATCTGTTTAATAAAACTGTTTTTTTAATATCCACCAAAACATACTGCCTATATTCACTGAGAAATGGATAAAAATATTCATTTTCAAAATGGGGATCTACTCGGTTATATTAGGCACTGTATATCGTTATCAGGATATGAGATGTCTTCTATCGTGATATGAGACTTTTGTCATATCACCCAGCCCTACTAACAGTGTGTGCAAATGCAGTGAGATTGATTTAGATGCAAATGCATAGTACAGCAAGAGAGGTGCAGAATTTCTAGACAGTGATGATAAAATACTCAATTACAGCCTTAAAGACGTATCGTTTGCGACAGAACCCACCTGTATAAGTGTCTGCTCTGCTGCGACTCCTCCGCGCTCAGAAAATAGCTACGGGGGAAAGACACATTAAGGAAACCTGAAAAGGATTTTGAGTTACTATTTGTAGTCAGTCATTTATCCTCTAATAATAGAGTCTACCTCCACATACTAGCTTTGTACAGCTGCATACTAAGCAGGTTTGCATCTTACGCTACACATGCAAAGTAGGGAAGCCTGTGACTAGAATTCATTTCTGTAAGGAGTGAATTAATTGTAAGCCATTGATTTGTGGGTCTAAATGTTGTGTTGAGCAACAGATCTGGCCATTTAGAAATACGCATGTACAAGTTTTTTTTTGTTTTTTTTGACAATGGAACTACCAGAATCATGTAAGTATAGCAATCATTCTGACCATTCATATTAAAATGGACTGAATTAGATTTTTCTAACATCTTATTTACATTTGAAGCTTCTATTCAGTATTTAGTATTAAGCTTTGAATGTCTGTTGTCATATTTTATGAAGTCAGCACCCTAAAAATATAACATTTTTTGTATTATATCCATCCAGCAAGAAACTTTGTCAAAATGCATCACAAAACATGTCAAAAAGCTAATTTGATTTGATTTGATGTATACTGACTACACAGCAATCACTTTTTGTTTTTTAAAAGATGTCTAATAGACGTCTAAACATAGTCATCTTGGCTAAAACAAGGCTAAATTTGGGCTGTCAGTGAAAATCTAATTGACGTCTAGGAATAGGCCAAAACTGGACTACTCATCAAATAAACAGAAATAAATGACTACACATGCAGTGGAAAGCCTGTGACTAGAATTCATTTCTGTCAGGAGCGAATTAATTGTAAGCCATTGATTTGTGGGTCTAAATGTTGTGTTGAGCAACAGAACTGACCATTTAGAAATACGCTTGTACAAGTTTTGTTTGACAGTGGAACTAATCCTGTGAATATAACAGTCATTCTGACCTTCCATATTAAACTGGACTGAATTAGATTTTTGTAACATTTTATTTACATTTGAAGCTTCTATTCAGTTTTTAGCATTGCTCTTTGAAAGTCTGTTGTTATATTTTATGAAGTCAGCGCCATAAAAGTTAATATTTTTGTATTATATCCATCCAGCAAGAAACTTTGTCAAAATACATCACAAAACATGTAAAAAAGCTAATTTGATTTGATTTGATGTAAACTGACCATCCAGCAAGCATTTTTGTTTTAAAAGATGTCTAATAGGCGTCTAAATAATCATCTTGGCTAAAACAAGGCTAAATTTGGGCTGTCAGTGAAAATCTAATAGACGTCTAAGAATAGGCAAAAAATAGACTAGTCATCAAATAAACAGAAATGGATGACTTCACATATAAATTCTGTCTAATCTGTCTATTTGACGACTAATCCAGTTTTGGGTTATTCTTAGACATCTTTTATATTTTCACTGACAGTTTAGCCTTGTTTTAGCCAAACTGTCCATGTTTAGATGTCTAATAGATGTCCACAAAATTGTTTGCTGTGTACCTTGATCTCAAAATTCCATGTAAAACTGGTTAAAACATGTCAAATATCCATTACAGGACTGTTTTTGACTCCAATGTTAGATGTCTATTTGATGTCATTTTAACATCCAGCTAGTTTATATGCATTAGACACAAAACCCAGAGTAAATTGGTCATTTGGAAAATTTCATATGAATAAAGCATTTCTTATATTGTAATATGTAACGTGTCGCTATTTTGGTGGTCAAAAGGGAGTCAATGTGTGAAGGTTTTGACGTCAAACCAATTAGCTTTTTGACATGTTTTTTGATGTTGATTTGAATTCATTTTGACATCAAGGATGCCCACGGGGTTATAGAGAATGGGAATGTGTCATCAGCACATTGCATTATGGAAATTTGGGACATGGGAACCTAGATCCTATTGATCTCTATTGTATCATTTACAGTTGAAGTCAGAATTATTAACCCCCCTGTATATATTTTTTTCCCGATTTCTGTTTAACAGAGAGATTTTTTTTTCAACACATTTCTAAACATAATAGTTTTAATAACTCATGTCTAATAACATATTTATTTTATCTTTGCCATGATGACAGTAAATAATATTTGACTAGATATTTTTCAAGACACTTCTATACAGCTTAAAGTGACATTTAAAGGCTTAACTAGGTTAATTAGGCAGGTTAGGGTAATTAGGCAAGTTATTGTATAATGATGGTTTGTTCTGTAGACAGTCAAAAAAATTGCTTAAGGGGGCTAATAATTTTGACCTTAAAATGGTTGATAAAAAATTTAAAACTCCTATTATTCTAGCCGAAATAAAACAAAAAAGAAGAAAAAATATTATCAGGCATACTGTGAAAATTGTCTTTGCTCTGTTAAACATAATTTGCTAAATATTTTGAAAACAAAACAAAAAAAAAAAAAATTCAAAGGGGGCTAATAATTCTGACTTCAACTGTGTATATATATATATATATATATATATATATATATATATATATATATATATATATATATATATATATATATATATATATATATATACTGTAAAAAAGCAGGGTTCCACACAATCTCTTCATGTCATCCCAATGCAAATCGATTAGTTTTTCAATTTTAGGCTGATTAAACATAAAACAATTCATTTATCCCCCCAAAAAACCTCAAGAATTGTGTTTCTGCTCATTTTAAATAAGTATTTTGAACAAATAGCAAAAACATTATTTGAGTATACACTGATCCGCAATAAACTATAAACACTCACATCACAAACGAAGAAAATCATATGTGGGAATATTTTCTTGCAGCAGCTCTTTTATACTCTGTCACCTACAGATAAGCTGGTTCATTTATTTCATCGGCTCCCTCTAAATCTGTGCCTGGCTTCTCTAATTTCACTTTAGCGCAGGAGATTGATTGAACATTATGGAATGAATATTTTTTTAGCTTCTCAAACACACAAAGAGTGTTTGTTCTATGTTTGTCTACAAGACCCTTTTCACATTTCCTGGTTTCTCAGTAGCATCATGGTTGGTTAAACTTAGAGAGCAGTGAATCGGAGAGTACAACAAATATTTGCTGAAATAATTAAGGAAAAACTCATGATGGTGTTATCAAGACTTACAGAAAAAGGGGAAAAATTGTGTGAAACTGACAGCGACAGCAAGAGGAGAAAATAACGTCAATTTTACTCTCAGCCACACAGATGCTGCATTAGAAACAGCTCGCATAAGTGGTAAGTTGTTTTTGTAATTTGACGCAAAGATGATATAATACATTCATAAATGCATACAAATGTTCATACCTTTTCATTAAAATAAGAATTTAAGGGATTTAAGATTATGATTACTGTTAAATGCAAAACGCGCCTTGTGAAAAGGGTCCATTACTATAAAAGAGTCTGTTTCTGTGGTGATTTGCATTGATTTACATTGTGCTCTTCTCAGGGTGTCTGAAATCACGGCAGAACGCAACTCACTATGACGTAGATTTCCATTCTCTATAATTGTGTTTGAGTTACTGGACTATTTGGCATCAAAAAGGGATGTTCTTGTTATCAGAAAGATATCAGAAAGTATCTAGGCAACATAGGCATGTATATTCAAAGCCACAGGAAAAAGTAGCAGACACTGAAATACTTGTGGTCAATTTGATCGTTATGGTCATTCAACTGCTCAACTCTTTTGTAAAAATTTGAAATTTTAATAAAAAAAAAAATGTTTAAATAATCACGCATTTTGGAATGGTCATGGTACTATAGTTATATGGGATTGATTCTAAGCAAGTTGTTAAATTGATAGTTTGATGAAAATTTAAATGAAAATTTACTCACTTTTTGTTAGCCCTCAAGTGGTTTCAAACCTTTAAGGAGTTTCTTTATTCTGTTCAACACAAAAAAAGATTGTAGCGAGTGGGCAGGGGCGTGGGAATGGGATGAGTCCCACAGAGGTGCTCTGGATTACAAGAGGAGAGACAGCAGTGGAAGACAAGAAAGGACCAGGCCTGGACACTTTGTTTTATTTTTGCTTTCAGCTTTTGTTTTCAGTTTTCAGTCTGTTTTATTTTTGTCATAATTAAAATCATTTAAAAGTTTGACTTTTAAATGATTTTAATAATGAAAAAATAAAACAAACTGAAGCAAAAGTAAAACAAAGTGTCCAGGCCTGGTCCTCTCTCATCTTCTACTGCGGTGTCTCCTCTTTTTATAATCCAGAACTCCTCCTTGGGACTCGAGGCCTGTGCACGACACAGGTGCTTCACATTATCACTCAAGCACCAGCCTCATCTCGTACTCACGGCTCTCAGCCCCGCCCACTCGCTACAAAGATATTTTGAAATATGCTGTAACCACTCACTTCCATAATAGTAAACACAAATATTATGAAAGTCAATAGTTACAGGTTTTTAACATTTTTCAAAGCATCTCCTTTTGTGTTCAACAGAAGAAAAAAAAAACTCTTCTGTGTTTTGAAACAACAAAAATAAAACAACAAAAATGATGCCTAAATAATGACAAAATTTACATTTTTGGGTGAGCTATCCCTTTAAATGACTAAAGAAAAACAAAATTAGTAGTTCAAGTGTTAAATCAGAAAAAGCGATTATTTCTGGGATGGTTTATTCAAGAGTTTGCTTTATGCGGTAGCAATTAGAGAACAAAGCCAGAGAGAAACTGACAGAGTCATTACAGCCGATTCAACATTAAATTGCTGTATTAATTTTAATTAAGTGCCATCTATGCTGATTCACTGGGCTAAATGGGATCGCTTGGCGTAAATAATTCAATAATTACTCATGGTAGGTAGTTGAGTTGACTATGAGATGCTTTACTACACAGACTTCAAGTCAAATGGTTAGCCAGTAAATTCAAGCTGTCATACATTTTATCGTTCTCCTCATCAAGGGCGCACAGTGAGATTACATCCCAGTTCCCTGATGTTAGAAAGCGAGGAGAAACTGAAGGAGAGGAAGCCTGAAGAAAGAGAAGGAGACAGATAAAGCTTATGAGTTTTAAAGAGAAGGTGAGTTTTAAAAAGAAAGACGAGGAAACATTAGATTTAAGTGTTAGATTTCAATAACAGATCAGAAAGAATGCGTTACATACACATATTCATACAGGCCTATTTATATAATAATATATCTCAAGAAATATGCATTAAATATTTTTTATTCATGTAATTGGCCATTTTATAAGTAGTATATGTGATATTTTTGCATTAAATAATTTGCATTATTAAGTAGCATTTAAACAAATTTTAAAAACATTTTAAAGCTAAAGAAAAGAACAATCATATAATATTTGTATAAAACTAAATGCTAAATAAATGCAATAACATTTATTTGAATTTTGTATAAATAATTTGTATAAATAAAATCTAATTATCTAATAATAATAATAATAATGTTAATATATATATATATATATATATATATATATATATATATATATATATATATATATATAGCCAAAAAATGTATAAAATGACTTAAAAATAATTAAAATAACATTTTATTATTATTATTATTATTATTATTATTATTTTATTTATTATTATTATTATTTTTTTTAATAACTTAATTTCATCTGATTGGCTGATAGCTGTGGAATATTCTGCAATAACAGCACTCCTAAAGCCTCTTCCCCCTTCTGTATTTCTCTGACCACATACAGTTTGACCAATATTGCAGCTGTTGGACAACATATTCTACTTTTGAGGCTTTTTAAGATGAGAATGTAGTTGTTTAGATTGCAACTATCCAGTTTATTTATGAGGATAGTGCCTATTTTAGATTCAGCCCGTCAGCGGCCATCAGCTTGTCATACTAAGCAGAGATGGTTGACGTTCAGCCACAAGAAGGCGACAGAGACCGCATAATAAGTCCTTAGAGAAGAAAAACTCATAGAAAATTTCAAACTACAGCTGATCAGATCATTATAAAACTGGTTTGTGACATTCTAAGTCAATCTCCTTTGTATGTTGTAGTGCTGAATTTATACTACTGGAATCTGATGCGTTTGCTTTCCTTAGCTTTGCTTTGGATTTTTCGGAGTTAATTATTGTGATATCCCGAATGCAACAGTGAAATACTGGGAGATATCTCAGTAGAGTCATGGCATTTCTTGCCGTTCAGCCTTAAATTTTTAAATGTGAGCAAATCCCCTGTTTTGTCATCACTTTAGACATTAAGTGACTGCTGTTCTCACATCAGGTGCAGATGTGAATGAATGGCGAAAGAAAGTAGTTCCTTATACAAAAGATTTTTTGAGACTCTCTGTGTTTTTCATTTTTATATACATGATTGTGCTGTCGATCTGTTGTATAAATGCAATATCACACTGGTAGCAGTGCGATATGGCTGTATATTGTCACTTTTGGGACACTAAGGCCCAATCCCAATTCTATTTTTGTACCCCTACCCCTTCCCCTTGCCCTTAGCCCTTACACCTGAGGGTTAAGGGGAAAGGCTTCAAAATTTACTCTTAAGAATTGGGACAGCACTACAGCACCTGCACATGTCATCATATGTCATCGCAATCTCATGCTTCATAAGAGATCACCGATCATGACTGCTGTAGTTAGTCCAGTTGTGTTATTTTTTTGGTATCTATTTTCAAGAAATCACTGAAGGCATATATTATGTAATCAAACGATCTAATGTGTCATCAAGATCATAAGTGTACTGTGTTACGACCTCAAAGTTATAGGGCTAAGGTTGAACATAAAAGTTAAAGAAAAATAAATTAATTTATAAACAGTTAGCAGGTTTATGATTTAAATGACCTTAAAGGTTCTTTTATTGTGAGAAGACGGAAAAAGTTTGTGTTTACAAGATGACAAAAATGAGCGCAAACAAAAATAGCTTCAGGGCTGAGCAAGGCCAAAATTCATTCATTCATTCATTTTCTTGTCTGCTTAGTCCCTTTATTAATCCGGGGTCACCACAGCGAACGAACCGTAAACTTATCCAGCAAGTTTTAACGCAGCGGATGCCCTTCCAGCCGTAACCCATCTCTGGGAAACCAAGGCCAAAATAATAAACAAAATATTAACTAACTCCACCCCGAAGATAACTTACCTAATGAACCAAAAGAAAGGCAGAAAATAGATTACAAATACCCTTCCTCCTTAATTGAACCAAAAACAGGAGAAAATACCAGTGTCAAAGTAAATGGCACTCAGCCCCTACGGCTTAGCTTACAGCTTATATCAGACAAAATATATGAATTTACACAGTGGCCATTTTCATCTATGTAAACACACAAAAACAACATTAACATTATAGCAGACACTGTAAAAAGCTCATTCTCAGCCACTAGTCTTTTCTGACAGGGTATTTGAGTGTCATCAAGTGTCAGAATGTTGTAGGACTGCTGTTCAGTAGTTATGATTATGGATTATAGATCGCGAACTTTATCTAGTTTTTTTTTTTTTTTTTGCGTTTTTGTTAAAAACATGACTGTAAAACACGAACGTAGTTATTATGAATATATTAAAATGTGTTTGTTTGTCATAAAAATTCAGAATAATGACAAAAATTACTAGTTTGTGGATCTCCTTACTTCCGGGTTCAGCAATACTGCCGTTGTGGCTGGTGTATTCTGGGAAATTTTCTTACCCCTTGTTTCGAGTGTGGTCCTGAAAAATCTTAGTTCGAAGGGCTATTCACCCCTTTCCCTTAGCACTACGCCTTCAAGCTAAAGCGAATTGGGAAACCCCTACCCCTTGACGTGAACGCTAGGGAAAGGGCTAAGGGGTAGAAGTAGGATTGGGCCTAAGAGACTCAGCCTGCGGCCTCGAGCCATCGCATCCCACCGGTGCCGATATACAGCCACATGACACTGCTACTTATATACTCATATATATGAGCAATTTCACACGACTAGTAGATGTGGCTTTATATCAGCACTGGATGGAGGCGAAGGTAGGGCTTAGTGTCCCATCAGTGTCGAAACACGGCCACATCACACTGCTACGAGAGTGATATTGTGTAACCCCGCTGGTCCTACGCCACTCAACCTGCTCAGAGCTGGTATCGAACCGGCGACCTTCCGCATGGGAATCAGCTGCTCTAACAAGAAGGCTAAAGACCATGGCCTCTAGCTTCTGGCGCTAGAGCACCTTTAGAGGTCAGAGGAGTTAGGTTTACCTGCACAGTACTTACTAGCTAGCCTCTGTTACAATTGCATTTATACAACAGATCAACAGCACAATTGTGTATATAAAAAGAAAATCAAACATGGAGAGAATCAAAGCCCTTTTGTAAGAGGATTTACTTTGTTCCGCCATTCGTTCATATCTGCAGCTGATGTCAGAACAGCAAAAGTCGTTACTAATTCACCAACGTCACTTTGGAGCTAATATTTGAATGATTCTCTAGCGTAATGTCTAATGTGATGACAAAACATGTGGTTTTGCTGACATTTTAAGATTATAAGGCTAAACGCCATGAAATGCCAACAGTCTAGAGACATTTCTCAGTGTTTCTCTGTAGCAACCAGGTTATCACAATAAATAACCCCGAAAAAGCCAAAGCAAAGCAAACATCAAAAAGATTGACTCAGAGTCACTTAATAATTATTTGATCAGTTGTAGTTAAAAATTACGCTGTTTCACCCTCTAAGGGCTTATTATGCAGTCTCTGTAGCCATCTTGTGGATGGACAACATCAACCGTCTTTGCTCTGCTCACTGACAGGCTAATGGCCACCGATGTGCTGTCTCTCAGAAATTATATATATTTAAAATAGGCACCATCCTTATAAATAAACTGCATATTTGCAATCTAAACAACTACATTCTTGACTAAAAAAGCCTCAAAAGTACATTATGTTGTCCAACAGCAGTAATATTTGTCAAACTGTAGAGTGTCCTCTGCTTGTTGCTGTATGTGGGTGGACTAATACACAAGGGTGAAGGGTTAAGAGGCTTACGAGTGCGTTACTGGCAGACTTTTGCACGACTATCAGCCAATCAGATTCAAGAACCAGATAGAACTTTTGTGTGTGTGTGTGTGTGTGTGAGAGAGAGTGTGTGTTTGTGTGTGTGTGTGTGTGTATGTAGGGACAGTTTATATATATATATATAGATGTTAGATGTATAGATGTATAGATTTTTTTATATAGAAATATAAGAACATATCATTTCAGAAATGTCTAAACTTCCCACAAAGCATATCAGAAATCTAAATCAATAGCTAGCACAATTAAAAACACAAATCAAAAGTCTTACACTTCAATAAACAGAAACATTTTACAACCCAATCAAGAGAAAAGATTTACAATACACCAAGGTTCGATGTCGGCCCCCCACACGTTCATAAAAAAAAGTCACACATACGGCTTGGTATACTTTAGGTTTCTAATCACAAAGTTTATGAGTGCATCTAATTTGATTGTGCATAGAGCGAGTATGAAATTATTCCACCCACAGACCTGAGCGGGGAGGCTGGCGATGTGGAGAAACTCCCCACGGGCCCCTTGCTTGGCAGGCAGGATGAGGTAAAACAGGGAACCATCTGCCGTGAACAGCGGCTCCTCCTGGAGGACAAGCCACCATCAATACACATTCCTCCCGCACTGTTTTGATGCAATTCATTTTAAGTCCAAGGTGGATGCGGCTCTAATGGAAGTGACTAGCACGAATTGATTGCATGCATCCCCGGAGAGGCTGAACTTTACCTGCCGCTGGTTGTTGTGCCAGAAGTCCATCGCCATTTGGTGTCTCTGAAGATTAAAGATGTTTTAAAAGGATCAGACGTGTGTCATATATTAGAAGTAAAATATGTGCTGAAATTGTTTGTTCTCTTCCGCCTGCCAGGGAGAGTTGTAGATCATAACAAACTCCGCGGCTAACGCAGAGACGCAGTCAATCCATCACTCTCGTTTGGCGTCACATTAAGGAAGCGAGTGTTTCATTTTTATCTGCAGTTTAGATGTGCTGTCTTGAACATTTAGAGTCCCACGTCTGCTCCATTAAAACGCTCTAGTTGAACTTTATTAAAGATATATTCAGTTACAGTTGACGTCAAAATTACGAGCGCTCTTATAAAATTGTAATTCATTCTTAAGTATTTCCAAAGTGCTGCCTAATGGAGAAGGTTTTCATTCAACACATTTTTCAACCTAATAGTTTTAATAGGTGATTTCTAATGAGTAAATTGTTTTGGCTTTGTCGTGATAGCAGTACATAATATTTTACTTCATATTTTGCAAGATGCTAGTAAACGGTGTACAGTGCAATATAAAGGCTTAATGCGCTTCATTGGGTTAAGTTAATTAGGCAAGTCGGTTGACAACAGTGGTTTGTTCTGTAGTCAATTGAAAAAATATTATTTCTTAAGGAGGCTAATAATAATGAGGATAAAATTGTTTTAAAAGGTAAAAAAAACATTGATTTCAGCCAAATTAAAAGAAATAAGAATGTTAAAAGCCGCCCAAGTATATTTAAAGACACTTTTTTTTAACGATTGTTATCATCCTTTAACAATATTTTGTATTAGCCTAATTTAACCAAACATCCACTATCAATTAAGTATCTGTGTTTTGTGTGCGTGAAACCTGTCAACACTGCCAAAGTCAGTCTCATGTGCTCTGCATACACTCAGAGATGCGAATTTAATAATTTGTTCAACCGGGTTTCTAAATCTCCTAAAATGTCCAGGATTTTGCTTTTGCTTTCTAAAGCTATTGTTAATCATAAACGTTTTTGCATTTCCTTTTTACTTTTGCTTGGCTTCGCAGCTAATTGCACACATAAAAGTTGCAAAAGAAACATTAAACACTTACTATATATACTTTACTATATACTCAGAGAGGAGAAACGACTGGTCTAAACTGGCTGCAAAATGTTTGTACACCATTAGTAACGGTTAATCAATACATTTGACTTATTTAAATAATCTACACATTTTAATCTAGTAATTATTATAATTTTAAGAGATGCTGTCTGTTTTCATTTCCTTTTTATGTCATTTATTTCTTATTTGCTGAGTATTTAATTTTTTTTAATGATGTTAATATATTACATAGGTTATTTCATATGCACATCTAAAATGCTTTAGCATTCAAGTTTGCTTTGAACTTGAAAAAGAGAGAGAGAAGCAGATTTTATCTGTCAGTGGGTGCACATGGCTCCTGAATAGCATTAAATAGAAATAGCTGGTTTCTGTTTTTATTTTAACAGTCTTTTTACTTTAACCCATTGAAAAGAAACAGTGTATAACTGTATCATAATAAATAAAATTGTTAAAAAATTACACATTGGTCTCAATGCGTTACTTGCCATTTCTTTGTAATTATTTGTGAAATTTAAAAGCAATTACTTAGATAAAACAGATTCTACAATGATCTTTTTAATGTTACAGTGCTCAGCACACATGAGTACACCCTCACACATCTATATTTTAAATTCATATTTTCTATAGGATGCTTTACAATATTATACTTGTGCATATACAGTTAAAGTCAGAATTATTAACCCCCTTTGATTTTTTTTTCTTTTTAAAATATTTCCCAAATAATTAACAGAGCAAGGTAATTTTTACAGTATGTCTGATAATATTTTTGTTTTCTAGAGAAAGTCTTATTTGTATTATTTCGGCTTAAATAAAAGCAGTTTTTAATTTTTTAATTACCCTTTTAAGAACAAAATTATTAGCCCCTTTAAGCTATTTTTTTCTGACTGTCTTCAGAACAAACCATAATTATACAATAACTCGCCTAATTACCCTAACCTGCATAGTTAACCTAATAACCCTAGTTAATCCTTTAAATGTCACTTTAAGCTGAATACTAGTGTCTTAACAAATATCTAGTAAAATATTATGTACTGTCCTCATGGTTATTAGAAATTAGTTAATAAACTATTATGTTTAGAAATGAGTTGAAAAAAATCTTCTGTCTGTAAAACAGTAATTGGTGAAGAAAAAATAAACAGGGGGCTAATAATTCTGACTTTAACTGTACATTGGATTAAATACTGAAGCCAAATCTGGGGCTTATCCAACAAAATAACTTACGATAACCATCCAAAAACTAGTACAGCCAAACTTATGTTCTAGAAAAATATTAAATAAAAACTTTAAAAAGAGGAGAAATCAAAAGAACCCAAAAAATGTTAAACATTTTTGTGAAATATTTCGCTTATTTAATATTTCGCAATATTTTGCTTGAATTTAATTGTTTTATCTTTCAATTTCTAATATGTTTAGTGAGAAAAATGTTATTTTAATAAATATATCTGTTTAATAAATCTGTTTTGTTTAAATGCACCAAAATAAGGCCAATATTTACTAAGAAATGGATACAAATATTCATTTTCAAAATGGGGTGTACTCAGTGCTGAGCACATACATATTTCTTCTATTTTTATACTCTAATTATGCAAGTACGTTATATAACTTCAAATGTAATGTCAATCATTATTCTAGCCCTAATATCTAATCCTTATTTTACTTATTACTTATTTGTCTGATGGTTATTTTTAGACATTCATTCATTTATTTTCTTTTTCGACTAAGTCACTTTATTCATCTAGGGTCGTCACAGCGGAATGAACCGCCAATTTATCCAGCACATGTTTTACACAGCGGATGCCCCTCCTGTAGCACATGTCTTTGTGGGATTGTGGGAGAAACTGGAGCACCCGGAGGAAACCCACGCGAACACCGGGAGAACATGCAAACTCCACACAGAAATGCCATCTGACCCAGCTGAGGCTCGAACCAGCGACCTTCTTGCTGTGAGGCGAACGTGCTACTCACTGCACCACCTCATCGCCCCTATTTTTATACATTTTCTGTTAATTTCCTATGTGGGTCATGTATATGTCTGCTAAGGTTTAGATGTATTATGTCAGATTCTCTACTCTCAACACTCTAAAGATAAACACTATTGTAAAATATAATTGTATTTAATAATCCACAAAACAAAAACATTTTTCCTTAATATTTGTATACACTTCACTATTAAGCACTTTCTATGAAGACTGTTCCCGTTTAAATGAAGGTAAAATCATTTATTATGAGATTAACAGCTCCTGCAGAAACATCTGTCATTGCTTAATAACCTCAGAGCTCACGGTCTTGAGAGGTTTATGCATTATTTCTGAAGAAAAAATAAAATCAATTTCTCTATGGAGAAAATGAATGGGATTTCTGCTTCAGACTGTTGCGCTCTGTTGTGTATTTCAACACCGCTCCCATTGCCTCTAATTATAAAGCTGTTGACAGATTTCCCAACATATACAGTGTGTCAGAAATCACACAGAAACCGCAGACGCTCCTGTGTCCATGCATTCAATCACACACTTACATAAAGAAAGAGGGACCTTTAGGCGTTAAGACAGGCTGCGCATTTAAACCGAGGCTTAAAAGTAAAAGCCGAGTTAAGTCTTTCGAGCATTCACAAGGAAATTAGGCTGAGCCGGCAGAAGAGAAGCAAGAGATTCTGTGCATGTTCTGAACAGAATAAGAAATGAGAGGCAGATCGATGGACACTTTACAAGTAAAGATACCCAGCGGGCAGCAGTGGATGAGATGGTAACCTCTCACCTCTGAACAGGCTCCAGTCGTGGCCTCGCATACGCACAGAACCGACTGATTCTGGACACGGTTCAACCAGCGCACTGTCAGGCGGGTGCTGCTGATCCAGCTCACCATAGAGATGTAGCTGTCCCTGGAGAAACAAAGAGTGTTGGGCATTCAGAATCACCATGTTATTAGATTATTTCTTCAAGTTCCCATATTGTGCTGTGTTATAATCATTGTGACTTAAAAGGGATCCCTTTATGCCCCTTTTTACAGGATGTAAAATAAGTCTCTGATGTCCCTAGAGTGTGTGTATGTGACGTTTCAGATCAAAATACAGCACAAAATAATGTTTTGAGACTCTGCATTTTTGGTGACTGTCGCTTTAAATTCAAATGAGACTGTGCTCTTTTTAAAAGAGGGCGGAGCTACAAATGCCTATGTGTCAGCATAGCAGCAGATTTCAAACAGAACTCTAATAGGATGGCTGCTTCTCACTCAGGGCTGTTTATGCTAATGAGGGAGAGTTTGTCACTGAGGGGCGGGGCTTCCTCCCTCTGATGGCATGTACAAAGTGAGAATGTCAATCAAAGTGTTTCTGCAGACTGTTTTTATCAAGTAGTATTATAAAATAACTGAATTAATTAACGTATTATTCGGTTGGCTATATTCACAATATTTGTTTAAGGGGATTTTTGCATAATAGGTCCCCTTTGACTTGAAGTATGACAATAAGAAGGATTAGTTAATGTTTCATCTATTGTTTTTATGTAAAATAATCACTTTGATGTATGCTGTTCAGCTTTAAAAACAAAAGTCCTCTGATGCTTAGCGCTGTTGAGAGCACGACTGTAACTATAGTAACTAACTCTGTGTGTGTTCAGAGTTTGCTCCTGTTTTCAACAAGGCCTTTCAGTAAACATTTAGTTTCAATCAAATCTGAGTTGCCACTTGTTTTATTTGCTGCTAAGAGGACAATAAAAAAACATTAATAGATTTACATCCACCCAAGGTATAAAAACTAAATTCATCTTCCTCATAATATACACTTCAGCATTACTGCTTTTCTCACAGTGTCTGGAAGTCTCTTTTTTAAGGCCCTCCCTTCAAAAGCCTTCTCTGCTCTGATTGGTCAGATGAATAAGTCTGTTGTAATTGGTCGACTGCTTCTAGAAACAAAGCAAACAAAGAAAAAAAACCCCGGCATTTTATCATATTGAAGGGATAGTTTAACTGAAAAACAAATTAATAGACATGGCTCCTGATGACACACTGAAACAAAATGATCTGTCTTTGCAAGAAACTGAGCATTATTTACATAGTTCTTGTCACATATAGAGTAGGATTGTAGTCTGGTCACTTTTGATGACAAAAGTTATGATGACGCAGTTGGTGATTAATATTTGTGATTGGGTCACCAGCTCTTGCACTTTCTATTAAAATTTCATTGTATAAAATTATATAAATAATGTTAAATTTCTTACAAGGGCCGATTGTAATGATTTGAACTTGTTTGTATGTGTCTAATAGTTCATCTTAAAATCTGTATAACCTTTCACTGCCATTATTTAAATCACCAAGGACCAAAAATACAGCTCAAAATCTCTTTTAATGTTGTACTAAAGACAAAAAAAAACTCACCAACATCTTAGATCAGGGCTGCTCAACCCTGTTCCTGGAGATCTACCTTCCTGCAGATTTCAGTTGCAACCCATATCAAACACACCTGCCTGTAGTTATCAAGTGCTGTTCAGGTCCCAATTGATTGGTTCAGGTTTGTTTGATCAGGGTTGGAGCTGAACTTTGCAGGAAGGTAGATCTTCAGGAACAGGGTTGAGCAGCCCTGTCTTAGATGACCTGGCTGTGGGTGGGTAAATTAACAGGAAATTTAGATTTTTGGGTGAACTATCCCTTAAATTCAAGGCCTGCAGGACCGAGTTTGGACACCCCTGTTATTTTAAATACAATTTTATACAGTTCATAAATGCTTTTTGGAAAAAACATCCCTGTACAGTTATCTGAGTATTCTGCTAATATTTACTTTCATTCATTTTCCTTCGGCTAAGTTCCTTTATTCATCAGGGGCCGCCACAGCGGAATGAACCACCAACTTATTTAGCGTATGTTTTACACAGTTGATGCCCTTCCAGCCTCAACCCAGTACTGGGAAAAACCCATACACTCTCATATGCACACACACATAACTTATGGCGTGGAAAACATGCAAAAACCTCACAGAAATGCCAACGGGCCTGGCCAGCACTCGCGACCTTCTTACTGTGAGGCGACAGTGCTAGCCACTGAGCCACCGTGCTGCATATTGAGCTAAAATAATTTTATTATTTTTGAATAATATATTAATTTTGAGTAAATACATTTATTTTTATTTATTTTATTTATTTACTTAATAAAATTCTACGAGTTTTGACAAAAAATAAAGGACTTTCAGAATTTCATTGTTTAAGCTAGTACTGTACATTTCCTCTTTTTTTCTGGCTAAATACATTTTCCTTTCATATTTACATTTATTCATGTAGCAGGCGCTTTTATCCAGAGCTACTTGGGAGCATTAAAACATATATTAATTCCTTGCTTTATGTGTGTTAGCTGGTTTAAATGTTTAATGCTGCTATTTTAGCCAGGTCTCTCTGGCAAAATAAAGCTAATCTAAAGGGACTAACCTTGTGAAATAAAGGTTTAATTAAATCCATCTCCGGGGGTGATTTTTCACACAAAAGACCTGCAAAGCTGCTTGCCATAAAGGATGAAAATCAGCCTGAAAAAGCTATGTTTAGACCGAAGATTCATTTTGCAGCAGGACACAGACTCAATGCACACAGCAAAAAACGAATGAAGAATGGCTTAAATTCTGAAGGTTGGTATTCTGGAGCGGCACAGCCTGAGCCCTGACTTGAATCCAATTGAAAATCAGCCATAAGACCTGAAATTGCTGTCCACCGGCATTCTCCATCTAATCTGGCAGAGCAGGAGCATATTTGTGCTGAAAAATGGTCAATAATTCCACAATCTAAATGCAGGAAAGCTCACACCGGCAAACATTGGATGATGCAAGCTGTATTTTGTAACTATGGGGATTGGGGACGACATAAAAAAAATAGAAAGTTTAAATATTAACTTTCTAACAGTAACAACGATATTTCTTTCATCGCAAATATAATAATATCTTCAGTGTCAGTGTGTAACTGCTCTCAATCTATTGCACAATGTTGCCTCAAGACAATAAACCCATTTTGTGTAGTTTGCAAATGCATAATGCATTTAAATTGGCAATAAAACTGTTAATAATGAAGAAATTATTTTAAATAAACAGCTGTAAACTTCCACTACACTCATTTTGAAGTCAGTATTCAAAAAGCAGAAAAAGTCCTCTCTCATAAAAGCAACTGTTCACCCATTAAAACCCCCAGTCACATTTTGTTAGAGAGTAAACTTGGTTTTGAAACATCCAGAGTCATCAAAAATGGAGGATTGCTGAAATATGTTTGGTGCCTGAAAGCAACAGTTAAACAGATACAACTCATTTCTGCATTAGGCATGAAAGCTTTTGTTTAATATTAAGCCCAACAGACATGCTTGACCATGTTTTTAAATGGATATTAAAAATGAACAGCTTAGTATCCACAGTTGCGGACACACGGTAATGAAAGATAAACTTCACCTGCTGTTCTGGGAGTCTGGAGGAAACATCTCTAATGTGTGCGCTGGACCGTATAAATTCACCACAAACAGACTGGCTGATGGGATTCTGGATCCCGCCTGTAAAGAGCAAATACTTTTAACTTCACCAAAATCAAACACTGAAGGCTTTCGCACAGTGTAAATAGTGCATAGCTTGCATTCATTATTCAAAACTTTCCTGTGATATTCGATTCATTTTGAGTTTATTCAACACAATCTTGTGGCAATTCGTAACTTTTTGATTTAGTGGTTAATTCATATGAATTCGTATGATCTCATTCGCACAATTTAGTATGATTTGCGTATCCCCCAACGATGGTTGGGTTTAGGGGTTGGGTTGGGTTGGGTGTGTCGCCACCATTTTAAAATCGTACATTTTCCTACAACTGAACTCGTATAAATTCGTACAAATTAACCACTAAACTGACAAAAAATAAAATAGTTATGTTTCTTTGTGAGATTTTTTTTTTTTTGATAAATATTTTTTGTTACAGAAAACCATCAAAGAGACATTTTTCAACAGAAATAAAGTATAAAAAAAACTTGAATTTTTCACATTTTAAATGTCATCCCATAATAAAAAGTCCAATTAAAATTGATTGCAATGCAGTTCTGTATACTTAAAACAAAAAGTTAAAATAATTAAAATCAGGAGTACCTAGGAATAAGATACGTCCTGTTGACCATTTAATAGTGAATTCATTGAAAATGTAATCTAAACCTTTTAAAAAGATAAATAAGATTGTCCAACAATTATTGTCTATACTGTACTTGTACCATATAGAGTGGGGAAAATAAGTATTGAACACTTATATCAGAAAACATATTTCTAAAGGTGCTGTTGACTTGAAATTTTCACCAGATGTTGATAGCAACCAAATAAATCCAAATATGCAAAGAAAACAAATCTGATTTATTTTACAAATGAAGTAATGTGTAATAAAATGAAATGGCACAGGGAAAAGTATTGATAGAAAGGCAGTGAAAGCCCACACAGCAGCTGAAATCTCTCTGAAATCTAATTCTTCAGCAGCCCTCCGACCTTTCGTCAATGTAAATTAATATTAGCTGCTTCAGTCCAACATCTACATTATCAGGATGATAAAAATGAAACCAGGGTAGACATTTCAACAAGTCAATGATACAAAACACAGACAAGGAATGTCTCAAATGCTTTCAGAGAAAGAAAATCAACCTCTAGAATGGCCCAGCCAATCACCTGATGTAAATCCAATAGAGAATACAAACTAAAGATCATATTTGATGGACGAGACCCACAGAACCATCAAGATTTTTACAATCTGAATGTGAAAAACTCACACCTGAGCAATTCATGAGACTTCATTCTCCATATGAGAGGCATCCTTAAGCTGCCATCACCAAAAAAGCCTTATATAAAGTATAAAATGCATTTCAGTAGTTCAGTACTTTCTACTTGTGTCATTACATTGTTATTACACATAACTCATTTTTCAGATTTATTGATTTGTTTTATTTTTATGTTTGTGTTGTTTGTGTTTTTACCAAAATCTGGTTAAATTCCATGTCAATAGCTACTTTAGAGATATCATCCCAGGAAAAAAACATGACATGTTCAGTTCTTATTTCCCCACTGTAAGATGTCCAAATCGGTAATTGTTACAGAAAACTGTTATGCAGACATTCTTCAATAGAAATAAATTACAAAACACCTCACTTTTAACATTTTAAATGTCATCCAATAACAACAACAACAAAAAATCCCACTCAAATGTATAGTAATCCAGTTCTGTATATTTAAAACAAAAAGTTAAAATCATTCAATTCAGGAGTACCTACTGTAGGAGTAAGACACTTCCTGTTGACCGTTTAGTAGTGAATTAATTGAAAATGTAATCAAATCTTATATTAAAAAATTAAGATTGCCAACCATTTATTGTCCATACTATCTACTATTTATCTACTATGACTATACTGTACTTATACATTTTGTATTTATATTTATAAAAAATGCAGTTGTATACTTAAAAAAAAGTGTTGAAATAAATAAAATCAGATGAATATTATTTTAACAGTGCAACCAAAATAATTATATTTATATTTCACCTAATAAGTACAGTGAGAACGCATTTAAAACATTTTGATACTGTATAAAAAGTCCTTAAATTAACATATTTCAAATATGCGTGAAGATTTTATTTTTTTTTAATAGCTTCTGATAGCTTTGTGTTTGCAATATGCAGCAAAAAGTGTATCCAGTGTTTCCAAGCTAAAGAGTGTGTGGAGACTGCCAATGCAGGGCTAGCATTTTCACTTAGATCAGAGAATAACTATTTTTCTGAGATAGAGAGAAATTTAAGCAAGAGTCATCGTTCAAAAGCAAAAGCTTAGGACAGCATGATATATTGTCCACCAGTATGTCCTTCAGAGTTATAGATACTTAGTCACAGACAGTTAACTTCTGGACTATCCCAAAACATATGAGTGTAGGTGCCTATAGTCTCCTGAACAGAAATTACAATTAGAAGATCATGACATATTCATTATACAGTAAGATACAACATGTGAGTCATTTAGTACACTTTAAAACCCAGTAAGTTAACGTAGCTCACACTGATTGAGGAACTAATTGCAGCAAACCATTTAAGTTCAAAAACCAATCCTAATGAGTACTTTAAACTTAATCCATTTGAGTAAATGAAGCAATCTGAGCACAGTAAAACCGATAGATGAAGAAAACTTAAACCAACTGAGTACTGTAAAACCCAATAAGTTAAGGCAACTCAAACCGTTTTAGGAAACCGACTGCTACAAACCATTTGAGTTAAAAACTAATCTGAGTACTGTGAACTTACTCCATTTAAGCTGAATTAATGTGGTATTTAATTAACTGACTACATTCAACACTGTATTCAAAACTCTTTTAAAATGAGAAGAATTAACTTTCATTCCATTTTGAGTTAGCTGCACTCATTTCATTTGATAAAGTTGACTGTTGGGTTTTACAGTGTAGGGATAATTGATTAGTAGGACTTCTTGGATTGTCCCAACAAATATTGTCCACACTATCAACTGTATTTGTACCATATATGTCAATACAAGATGTTCAAAATCTATACTTGATAATAGAGACAGAGACAATAGATTCCAGAGACAATAAATGGGTAAATTCTAGAATTGCAGGTACATATCCAAGATAATATTTGTCAAAAGCAATGACATAATGATGACATATTCTATGAAGTTAAAAAAAAATACATTTGCTTGTGTTTTTAGAGACATTTTTATTATATTTAATAATATAATACAATGTATTATAAAGTATTACATATTTATAATGTTTAATAATATATATATATATATATATATATATATATATATATATATATATATATATATATATATATATATATATATATATATATATATATATATATATATATAATTTTAAATATAAACTATTCATTTAAAGTCTCATATACTATAACCATTTTTGACTGTCTTGAATCTTACATTCAGCTTTGATTATCATGAATTAATTTCATCAAATTTTTTATCATTTGTGTGTGTGTGTGTGTAAAATAAACATTTGCATTAAGCACTGATAGAAAAGCATGTGATGTCACTTCTTTTGGCGGTAAACTCTGTCATTTATGCTTCTCTGATTAACTTGTAGAAAATGTTTAGGATACCAATAGTTGATTAATTATTTGTCAACTCTTTTATTGTAATATTTCTGAGAGTTTCTTATTTACTTTTTAAAACCAATCATATGAAAATGGAACAAATTCTGTTGTAGATGGGCCATGTCTAGTTCGAGGTTGGCATCTTTAGCTGAGCCATAAAATGGTTTAAAATGTCAACTCTGTTAGTGGTTTAAAACCTTTAACAATAAGTCCCACAACAATTAGTAACAGAATCAAGTGTTCCCAACACATATTTAAACTTTTTTATTTTTGCATTATAATCAATAATAATGAATTTAGTTTACTTAGTTTTTTATGTTATTGCAATTTAAGAAAAATATAATAGAAAATGCTAGAAATGTACCTGCAATTCTGAAATGTGTCAAATACAAATACAAATAACACTACACTGTTCTGACTTCTATTGTTAAAGGTCCTGTAAAGTGCTTTGAAATGTGCATTTTTATTCGATGTTTGATGTAATCTCAACCAAAACATAAATAGAGGGTGGGACATTGTGTAGCCCCTCCCCTTTAAAAAAAACAGCCAGTAGCATTTAGTTTTAGGACTGCTCTGCCAGTGAGAGAGGTTGAGTTGAAGCGCATCAAATGGGACGCGTCTTAATGGGGCTGCGGCATGTCTGATACTAGAGTGCATTTGATTGGTCATGATTTGATAAAAAACTAAAGTATGAGATGCCTTGAAAAAATCGTTGATCCAGTTCATACTGTAGATATCCTAAAAACTAACAATACTGATACTAACGCCTAAAAAACTTTATTTCAATTTCATAGGACCTTTAAGGTCTTTTCACACTGAAGTTTGAAATTTTTTGGGGGGATTTCGTATATTTTTCGTCTGCCACATTCTGTATTTATATAATTTCATGCACTGTGTATGTCATAAAGTGATCTGTGCTGGTCAAATGACGGCAGTCTGTAACTTTCATTTCGCTCATACTGTACGTGGCAGTAAACTAAAACCAAATCAGGCTCATTCTGAAAACATACCGCTATATACATTTCTGGAGATCGCCAAATACGTCCGAGGAGGTGCAAATTGGTTTTCGCAAATACACCAGAGGCCGCTGTGTATGCTTTTTTGAGAACTCAAATTTCTCTCGCGAGTGCCATTCATGCCTGCTGTTCTCACGTAAATCCACAAGAGGCTGCAGTCGACTGACTGAATGACTAAATGACTGACCCACCTCCCTCCTTCTCTAAACCCAAACGACAGTTTCAAAAAGCAATCCAGAAAGAGAAAAGCCCTCCCCTGATTTTTCACCACGTTTTTTGATTTTACCAAATTCTCACCATGTTATTTACTTGTTTATTTTATTTTTGTTTTCTGTTTTGTCTCATCAGCTTTCTGAAATTGTTCTTTGCAAAACTCGAACCCTGTCATCATGGTCAACTCCTCATTGCGTCTCAAGTCTATCAACGTACAAGGTGAGCTACTGGTCAAACTTGTAACAGTGTGAAAGTCGTCCATAAAAAGGTAAACGGTCGGCTGGTAAGCATGAAAAGTCATACCGCCCCACAGTGTTCCTCTTAAAGAGGAAATGCAGCCATTAGAACTTCTGGCTACATAATTCGCGATCTCCAGAAATGTATATAGGGCTACGTTGTCAGAATGAGCCTAATACTTTTTCTGATGCGAAAAACTGAAAACATTTAACCTGATTAAATTTTTTTATAACAGACGAAAGTTTCGTAGGCAGTTTGTCAATATGACTGACAAAACGTGAGGTTGAATTTATCTGGAATTGTGAAAAATTGTGAAAATTTCGAACAAAAATTTCAGGTTCAGTATATAATAACCAAGAGTTTTATGAATTTTAAGATATATTAGTTCTTTACTGAACCCCAATATGTTCTCATTGCCATCAAAGGAAGGTCACTGGTACATTATAGCCTATTGTGTAGCAAATCACTGAATGACCGCAAGGTTATTTCATCTTGTAAAATAAATTAGTTTGCTGCACATCCACTGTTTTTACCTTTGGATATGGGTAGAGGACATTAGAAGGGTAGCTCCCACCCAGGAAGTGATGTATTTCCATAAAAGGAGTTGCTGAGTTATTGATGGACAGATATGCCAGGCGCGCGCCATCTTTGGCCCACCAGAACGCAGGATATTTCAGCAATATCTCCTCTAAATTTGAATAAGGAAAAGAACAGGAATGAAATTTTAATAAGGCTCATTAACCCATACAGAAACCCACGCTGATTATCATAACTCTCATTTTAGCAATCTCATTGTGCATTTATGAGGGCAAATGATATAATAATCTCTCTGTGAATACTGCAGAGTCATCGAGGAGGGGTTGTCAAAATTTTCAAAATGTTCAGTTTCTTGGTTTTTTCATTCATGAATTATTATTATTTGTGTCAGACAATATAATTTATTTATATAAAAAAAAGTTAGCCATGAAAAAATAGCTAATTAATTAAATTGTTTAGATTATCAAATTAAACTTTTTAAAAATAAAATGAGTTGTTTGCTGTATGTGTTTCTGCAAGCATACAAAAAAATGTGAAAAAAATGTATATTTATATTTGTCTGCTAATATAGCCAAACCTAAGGAGTTATCAGCTACCGTTTATCAGTCTAAAACTCAACATCAGTGCATCCCTATGAACATTAAAGTCAATAATTAATTACAATAAAGCAAAATAAATTACACAGAGTAAAATACAATAAACAATCAGGTAAAGAACAGAAATTAATTTTTAATAAGGCTGATTAACCCACACTGAGGGCAATGTAGACCTGCGCTGATTATCATGAATCTCATTTACCAATCTCATTGTGCATTTATGAGACAAATGAGATAATAATCTCTCCATGAATACTGCAGAGTCATCAAGCGGTTGTCAAAATTTTCTCAAAGCACACATAAAGATAAGAGGACTCGTTATATTGATGGACTGAACGAGAGTATTGAAAGGGACGATCTGTCCGAGATCACTGACCTTCGTATGTCCAATCAGAAAGCCCATTAACCACCATTCCCTTCCTGCCCGAGGCTGTCAGACGCATCGCCTTGCTGGACACATCGGGTTTGTAGTAGATGTCATTCTCAAACACATAGACCTGGAGTCAAGAGACACAGCCAGGATTAATATAGACAGATGAAGACATGAAGCAAGATGATTGCAAGGATATTTGACAATTAAGAGCACATACAGTTGAAGTCAAAATTATTAGCCCCCCTGAATTATTAGACCACTTGTTTATTTTTTTCCCCAATTTCTGTTTAACGGAGAGAAGATTTTATCAACACATTTCTAAACATAATAGTTTTATAACTCATTTCTAATAACTGATTTATTTCAAACTTGCCATATATATATATATATATATATATATATTATACTTTCTCTTATTGTTTCTTTTATTGTGACGTGAACTGTATATATATATATATATATATATATATATATATATATATATATATATATATATATATACAGTTCACGTCACAATAAGAGAAACAATAAGAGAAAGTCTTTTTTGCTTTATTTCGGCTAGAATAAAAGCAGGTTTTAATTTTTTTTAAACATTAAGGTCAAAATTATTAGCCCCTTTATGCTATATATTTTTTCAATTGTCAATAGAACAAGCCATTGTTATACAATAACTTGCCTATTTACCATTATTTACCTAGTTAACATAATTAATTTATTTCATTTAATTATAATAATATATTTAATATTATGTTGTGTATAATACAAAAAAGTTATGTTGTTATATCTACTTCTGTATCTATGTATATGTTTGTGTACATTCATGCATTGATTTTCGGCTTAGTCCCTTTATTAATCTGGGGTCGCCACAGTATTTTGATTTGGGTAATGTTCAGTTACTCGGCTGCTTTATTTATGCTTTTTTTTGTCAGGCAAAAGGAAGTAGAAAGCAACAGTTGATTAATAAAATTCAAAGACCAGTTCAAAGGCAGTTAAGGTTTTAAAATAAAATTAGTTGTTCACTGTATGTGTTCACTGTCTTTTGTTTCTGCAATCATACAGGAAAATGTGAACGATTTATGTTTATATTTGTCTGCAAATATATCGGCCTCCAAACATAAAGACTTATTGGTATGAGTCAAAAATTATTAAATGAAATACACAAAGAATAAAACATCACATCACTATCCAAATTAAAGAAGCAAATGACACACATTTTTAGAATGAAAAACTGTTTCACATACTATTTTGTAAAATTATCTGCAGTTATTTTTGCAGGATATTATTGTTAATCTAAATAAAATCTAAATAATCCAAGTGAATCTAAATAATCTTACAACACATACTGAAAACATACTTAAATAAACATAATCCTAACTATTAACAAAACAAAAATAAAACAATATTTACCATGCCTAGTTCACTATTATATTCCGAACACATTTCTATCAGTTAAAGTAAGCATACAGTAGAATAGACCCAAAATAAATAAAAAATATCCTCACCAGCTGGTTCCCTTGAGGTCCCCACGCTGCATACTGAAGCACAGATGTATCCTCCTCTGACGGAGTGAGGTCCACAATATCCCTAACACACACACACACAAAACACACACATACACGACAAGATTGAACTACTACATTACAAGCATCTGAAACACAACATGGTAGAAATCTGGCATTTTCAGAATCATTTCAGAGTGCTTGAAAAGGCTCGTATAACAGCACGATGCAGATGCAGAGTTAATACACAAAGGCAGGGGTATGATCATGCAAATGAAACCACAGTTAAAGCTAAATGACCCAAAAACAAGCAAGATGTGCTTCAAGACATTCTTTGAAAGTTTCACTGCCATTTCACAACAGCAGGCACACAAATCTCAGGCTTTTATAAACAACAACAACAACAAAAAGAGCATAGGGGGCATTCAGTAAATTGCAGGTTAGTGGAAACAAACATTTCATCCAGCAGAGACCTGTCAGCTTCAGAACAAATAGTACCTTTCCATACTTGTAAATAATCAATGCCTGATGGATAACTTTGGGTAGAAGCACAAAGGCAGAGGGACCCGTGGACTGGGGTTTTTTTCGGTTGTGCACATGCCCAGTTCAGGCCATGCAGAGAGAGGCCTCTGTCGCTACCTACCCGCTGGACACTATGTAGATTGCAAAGGATGCTGTGAAGGACTGTGAGAATACCTGGAAAGGGGCAGAGGACATGGTCGATCCCTAAAATGCCTACACACATGCTTTGCAAAAACAAAAGCAATGACTATGCACGGCAGTTAAGCACGCGTTTACATTGTAACGTTTTAATTACATAGTAGTAAAAGTAGTGCATTGGTATGGAAAAAACACAATCTGTTTACATTGCCCCTGAAGCTGCATTAATTTGATTTAAAATGCAAAAAAATTAAAAAGCTGCTAATAAAATAATCAAAACTACAATTTTTCTGTGACAATTTAAATGTTTTAATGTATTAACAGTACTAATTTCCTTCCTCAATTATTAAATAAATTGTAGATAAATGCACACTAACAAAATTAGGCATGCTACAGTAGTAGTGTGTATTATATACAATTTGTCTTAGTAATCTGTACTTATACATTATATTTGAATTTATCAAATACTATTTACAACAATGGTGTTCATATTGTGAAGTATGCAGTTTACTATTCCAAATACAAGCACACATTTAAATACAGCTCAAACGTCTTATAATCACTTTCTTTTCCTCATTTCATCACAGGACACGTGTGACTTTTATATTTTTTTTATATTTTTTATATTATAGGTGGGTATAGGTTAAATTTTTTAATCTAGATTAATATCACTGTAATCTTGGAATTAATTTAGATTAACCATCTCTAGGGTTTACAGAGAATAGTCTGAAAAGAGAAAATATCCAGTGAGCGGCAGTTCTGTGGGCACAAATGCCTTGTTGATCCAAGAAGTCAGAGGAGAATGGCCAGAATGCCCTGGTTCGAGCTGATAGAAAGGCAACAGTAACTCAAATAATCACTCGCGACAACTGAGTTATGCAGAAGAGCATCTCTGAACACACAACATGTCGAACCTTGAGGCGGATGAGCTACAGCAGCAGAAGACCACAACGGGTGCTGCTCCTGTCAGCTAAGAACAGGAAACTGAGGCTACAATTCGCACAGGCTCACCAAATTTGGAAAATAAAAGATTGGAAAAACGTTGCCTGCTCTGATGAGTCTCGATTTCTACTAAATTTGGCATCAACAACATGAAAGCATGGATCCATCCTACCTTGTATCAACAGTTCAGGCTGGTGGTGGTGGTGTAATGGTGTGGGAGGGATATTTTCTTGGCAAACTTAGTACGAATTGATCATTGTGTCTATGCCACAGTCTACCAGAGTATTGTTGCTGACTATGTCCATCCCTTTATGATAACAATGTACCCATCTTCTGATAGCTACTTCCAGCAGGATAACGCGCCATGTCATAAAGCGTGAATCATCTCAGACTGGTGTCTTGAACATGACAATGAGTTCACTGTACTCAAATGGCCTCCACACTCACCAGATCTTCCTGCTGGCACAGAATGTCAACACGACGTCCTATTGACGTTGTACCCCAACGTAAGTCGTGGGGGCGTTGGATTTTGTTTGGAAATTAAATTCAGGTTGACGTCAGAACCCACAGGCCGACATCAATGTTCAATGTCAAACCAAAAATCAATCTAAAATCAACCAAATATCAACGTCTAATCAAGTTACACCATGTTGTGCGGACGTTACCTCTATACCACTCTATCAGACGTTGTATTTTGGTCACTTTAAAACACAACCTAAAATCAACCTAAACTCAACCAAATATCAATGTAATTTGATGTTGTTATTGGACATTAAAATAATGTTTTTCTTAAATGCTGGCTACACATTGAATTTTGGTCACCTAAAGTAACTTAATATTAAGTAACTTAGGATGTTGTGTGCCTTCTGGGCTCAATCCAATAGACAACTTTTAAGATGTGGTGTAATGGAAGATTTGCATCATGGAGGTGCAGCCAACAAATCTGCAGCAATTGCGTGATGCTATATGGACCAAAATCTCTGAGGAATTTTCCAGTGCCTTGCTGAATCTATGCCACAAAGGTTTGAGGCAGTTCTGAAGCTCAAAAAGAAGTCCAGCATGGTACTAGTAAGGTGTACCTAATAAAGTGGCCGATGAGTGTATACAATATTAGCATGTCAAAAAGGACAATTGCACATGTTCCAGTCGAGCAGAAAAGTATATTACAATGCATTTGGTTATTTGAAGATATATTGATCAGTTTGGTCTGTAATGATTGGTTTGAAATTGGACGTATATATTGATCGCTGCAGCAGAACGGATTGTGGCAACAAGCTTCAAACTGCACTCGTTTCCCAAAAGCCTAATAGGATTGAAAGTCATGCCCTGCACTGCATACTAAAAACAGACCCAGACGACTGCCACACACTGGCTAGCAGTGAAGTTAAACAATTATTTCATTAAAGGACGAAAGCTTGAGGTCAGGAAGATTGTTTGCTTTATAAAAGCATATTGAGCAAAAATGCATTAAACTGATTAAACGTGACAGTAAGGTCCTTTTAGATTTTCACATTTCTATTAGAAATGAAGGCTTAAATAAATATGATTTTTTTTTAAACAAACATTAATCATCACAGTTTTTAAAATCTTTAAAATAATTTCTGTAGTGTTTTATAATTCTGAATTACAGAAATAAATAACATTTTAAAGTTATTTTAAATTGGAATTATATTTAATATTATTTTGTTTTACAGCATTTTTTATCTTTTATCTTTTTAATCTTATTTTAAGTCTGAATAAGCATATAATATAATATAATATAATATAATATAATATAATATAATATAATATAATATAATATAATATAATATAATATAATATAATATAATATAATATAATCATTCATTCATTTTCTTGTCAGCTTAGTCCCTTTATTAATCCGGGGTTGCCACAGCAGAATGAACCGCCAACTTATCCAGCAAGTTTTTTATTTTATGCAGCGGATGCCCTTCCAACCGCAACCCATCTCTGCGAATCATCCACACACAGATTCACACACACGCTCATACACTACGGACAATTTAGCTTACCCAATTCACCTGTACCGCATGTCTCTGGACTGTGGGGGAAACCGGAGTACCCGGAGGAAACCCACGCAAAGGCAGGGAGAACATGCTAACTCCACACAGAAACGCCAACTGAGCCAAGGTTCGAACGAGCAACCCAGCGACCTTCGTGCTGTGAGGCGACAGCACTACCTACTGCGCCACTGCCTCGCCATATAATATAATTTAATATAATATAATATAATATAATATAATATAATATAATATAATATAATATAATATAATATAATATAATATAATATAATAATATAAAATAATATAATAAAGTAAAATAAAATAAAATAAAATAAAATAATATAATATAAAATAATATAATATAATATAATATAATATAATATAATATAATAATATAAAATAATATAATAAAATAAAATAATATAAAATAATATAATATAATATAATATAATATAATATAAAATAATATAATATAATATAATATAATATAACATAATATAATAATATAAAATAATATAATAAAGTAAAATAAAATAAAATAATATAATATAAAATAAAATAATATAATATAATATAATATAATATAATATAATATAATATAATATAATATAATATAATATAATAATATAAAATAATATAATAAAATAAAATAAAATAAAATAATATAAAATAATATAATATAATATAATATAATATAATAATATAATTTAATATAATATAATAAAATATACATAACATATTATAATGTAACAAAAAACAATATTGAAAACACAAAGCAAGTTTTTGTTGGCACGTTGAAATTACAATGTTTTCTATTTTAGTGTCTAGTTTAGCATATTTTTCTCTGAGCGCAAGACTGTGTGTGTTGATTATAGGAAAAGAGATTGTGGATTCCTGCTGAGAGTCAGAAATCCTCTTTTTGCAAGAATTCACAAAATGAATATCCATAAGATAAACGGTGGGGGAAAAAGATATTGCCAACATGGGAATCTGCATGATTGTGACGCTGGCATAGTAAATGCACTAATTTGCTCAATAATACTCAGCGTGGTTTTGATGCCCACACAATTCACACTGCCAAAAGTGCAAGATCTGCCCTAGTTTGCCTTCCTGCCTGCCTTTTCCTTTTTTTCTCTCTCTCTCCATTCATTCGCTTTTCTTCTCTCAGTAGTGCGGATTCCGACTGTAAAATCTTTCATTTCATGTACATCACAACACATCTTCCTCTGCGCTTGAGGTTGCCCTGGTTCACACAAAAGCGTACCTCTTCATTTCTGAATCCCTGTAGACGTCTTAGCTTTATTTTCCCTCACCTTGACTTCCTTCCTTCCTTAAAAGAGGATTTTTCTCCCAAAAATGTGTACTATCTGTAATCATGTACTCATCCCCATGTCGTTTCAAATCTGTGTGACTTGCTTTTTCTGAAGATGTTTATAAAATATTTTCTTTTTGTGTTGAATAAGTGTTGATTAAAAGATATTAACATGTCACACATTTGTTATGAGGCACTTTTCACAACTCACATTGTTTCAAAGCAGCTTCACAAACAAACAAAAAGATGTTAATGTCTGTATTAACTAAATTAATTATAGTCCTATTTTACAAATTAGATCAGGTCGATAATATAGTTTACATGTGACAATTTACAGTAACTTTGTACTAGTTAATGTATCTAATATAAACTAATACCGAAAAGTTCAACAGTTTATTCATATTTGTTAATGTTGGTGAAAATAATGTCATTCATTGTTAGTTCTTGTTAACTTGTCTGGAATACTCGATTCTGATTGGTCAGTTGCGATATTCCAAGCTATGTTATGCCGAGATAACAACTGCTGAATGTCACAGGCTCACAACCATATCACCCTGCTGCCTAAGACCAGTTACTCAATGAAGCTAAGCAGGGCTGAGCCTGGATGGTAGACCACATGGGAAAACTAATGTTGATGTTGAAAGTGGTGTTAGAGAGGCCAGCAGGGGGCGCTCAACCTTCACTTCTCGTAAAGATAAGGGGTGTCCTGGCCAAATTCCCTTACCCATTATGGCCTCCCAATCATCCCCATCCACTGAATT